ATGTGTAGTCCAAAACTTAATCCAACTGTATACCAAGGTATTTATTAGGATAATGTGCCAAGAAAATATGACAATACAGCCCTTGGAAGGGATATGAGGACAGACTGAAGGAATGATGCCCAACCACTTTAACCACCAAGAATCGAATGACATCAGGTGTTGAAAAAACTGGTGATAATAGCACCAATTACATCATTTCCCTGCTCAATTTACTTGTATATTTATAGTTGGGTATTGCACAATACAATACTGTACTGTACATATATTAGATTAATTTATTTTATTATATGTGGTTAAAAATTTTCAGAATTACTACTGTACAGTACTGTACATTCTGTACACTGCAACCTCACAAATTATCTGGATCATATCATTCTGGAACTGATCAGGCTTTATAGAATAATCCAAATTTCCAAATGGTTATCCAATTTTGTCTATCACTAAATATTCAAAATTGTTCATGTAAATCTCAAAACTAAAATAAACACAATTTTATTTTTAATATGCTCAAAGGTTTTCCCTAAGGCATCAACTGCTTCTCCTAATGTTGCACATATTTTCAAAATCATTAACAATTTTATCAAGAGCCGCCATTCATCCCATAATTTCCAACACATACGGACAACGTTCATTGAATGGAATTTTAATTACAGCTTATATGATAGACCTCTACCAAGAAGACCCTGACTATAGAAAGATTTCATTTAGCACCAGCACTTCGTAGCAACCAGCCTCTTAAAGCCTATTTTTCAAAAGAAGAGCCATGACCCCCAAATGGTGTAAATGAGTCAAGTCCATCAAAACATCTTGGGAACTTGTTCCAATAAATAATTAAATACTATACTCGAAATCGGGAATTCAAGGTTTGAATCCTGGGTGGGACAGATATGGCTAGGCATGTTTCCTTTCACCTTATACTTGCTTCTGTTCACCTAGCAGTACATAGGTACTCAGGAGTTAGTCAACTGTTGTAGAGCTGTATCCTGAGGATGGCCAGTAGTTTGACATTTCAGGAGAAGGGGGGGGGGGGAAGAGACCCCTGAAATCAACCAAATGTATACACACACACTGCCTGTCCCCCAACAAAAAAAATTTATCATTAACTATTTTCAGATAATCATTTATGATATCTCTACCAAACCAAATTCAACTTCCAATCAAAAATCTTAATAAATCTTGCTTAAAACCAGCTGCATGATCTTTTTTTAATCCAAGCCCAATCACTTTTGCCCCTATCTCAAAACTTTTATGATCCATTTTACATAGAAAATATATTGGGATCCAATTTCAATTGATAATTTAAGAGCTACTATATAGTTTACAGATAATTTCAACAAACATGAACTTTGGAAAGGGAGATCTAGTGGCCGAATTTAGTCCATTATTTTGAGGGCTCCATTACGCACACGACTAGATTTTTGGAATAGGGTCCAAGACCTGAGAAAAATTTGAATGGGCTATGTCATAACTACTCTTTAAACAAACCCAACCCAACCTAACTAAAACATTAGATAAAATGCTGTGTTTTATTTATATATATAGTGTGCACAAAGTGAGTAACATTATACTGTACAGATAGTTTTAATGTCAGCACAGCTTCTGGACACTACTGGAGTTTTGAAGGTGTGTACATAGAATTGCATTGTATTAATCCTATACACAGGTTACATGTTATTCATTACAGTGCTCAATATTCCTGCTTATAAGTAGAGCTTTAGCCTACCCCACTGGATGGTATCACACATGCTATGAGTGTACTGTATAAAGTACAGAGTGTACTGCAACCTGTGAAGTGGAGCCTAATATATGATCAACAAGTGGGGTCGAAATATTTAGTCAAGAAGTGGAATGCACCGAAAGAAGTTGTAGAAGCCACCTCCATTCACAACTTTAAGGCCAGATTTGACAATGAAATTGAATAACAGAAGGTAAATTATAATGCAACAGGTACAACAAAACATGTAGGCAGGACATAAAGAACTAGAACTTGCTGTTCCATAATCACCAATAGGTAAGTACTGATAGGTAACTATCTCTTAAACAATGCAACCTTTGGCAATTTGGAATAGTTTGGTTATTGGAATGATTCACCCAAAACTACACGAGCACACACATTTCCTTCCATCCTTCGTGGATGGATAATTTGGTAAACAACATAGTGTGGAAAATTGTCGAGAAATTTAACCTCGAGCCTTCTTGTACACTGTAATACGCATTGAGGTCAATGCCACGAAAATATTTGAGTGTGCTTTTACAGTGTACTGCCGCTACCTTTATGCAACCACATAATGGTTACCGAGGTTTGGTTTGGTTCATTTATTATACAGCTTACATACCATAGAGTAGTGCTCAAGTTACACAGAGTTTACTGGCTCCCACAGTCATTATCAACAAGGTACTTGACCCCTCGTGAAACTAGTGCTATTGTGAGGGGTAAATGGGCGTGAGGTAGCATGGGAATCACTGTCTTGAGCCCCACACCCTCGTGGTGACCCGTGACCTCCCACACCCCTCGGAGTGACCTCTGACCTCCCACACCCCTCCCCACAGGTCACAACCAACCACCTGCACACACACAACACCTGCTGCCCCAGCCTCCCTGCCCCAGGACACCCACACCGCCCCTGGGGGCCTGACCCGCTGCTTCACCCCACCAACACATAACTATTTCAAACAGAAATGAAACACGCAACACTACACCCGAGTCAGGTGTTGCTGAATTACACTGTCCGCCCCGTCTGGGCTGGCCTAGGGGCACTACACACTTAAGGCTACTATTTCAACTTTGGGAAAATGTGTTGCAAGGCGAGAAACACGGACTATACCTTTAAATCTCGTTTAAAATTTTGACGAGCCAAAACTAGGTCTCCTTGTTATGCCAGCTGAAATTGGATACATTTCTCATGGCAAACTGAATATTAACATCCTTGAATTTAACGACTTTATAACAAACTTTATATATTGCAGATAAATTCTGTGATTTATCTTTCAAGGCAAGGTAACCTGGGATATATTTTAATTCGGAAATACCACGTCAATCACTTAGAAATACAGAGGCCAAGTTTACGCGCCCACTTTGAATTCAATATGTACATTATCATAAATCTTAAGCTAATGTATAACAGTATTTTATGTTCATTATAATAAAGAATGTTCTTTACTTCAAATATATCATGTGTGACAAACATTGGTTTAAAAATGAGAATTATTGCTGAACACGATCTATAATATGAGCAATCATATAAAAATTATTTTTGATGCCCGGTGTTGAATTTTCTCCAAAGCAGTTATGTCCGACTGAAGATAAGGTCTTCATGCTTGGATACAATAATCCAAGTGTGTAGCGTAATACAGTTGAATAACTAACTTCTTTTCCCTGAAATAAAACTTACGTCTGGCTTAGGATTTAGCCTGGCTTGGATTTAGTTGGCTTTTCATCAACAAATAATTACAATGTAAATTGACAGAAATGATTACACTGGGAGAGATATATGTCTTAAGGACTAATAATGAGGAAGTGGGTAGTACAAGATACAGTGTGAGGTTGAAGCACAAGGTAGAAATTTAAGAGGATGAAATTAGGTACTAATTGGTTTGACTTTTGAATAGGGCATAGGTTGTATAATTTTTTTTTAATTCATCAGGGAATGAGTTCCAAAGACTGGGGTCCTTTTATTTGCATGGAGTGTTTACACAGATTTAGTCTGACTCTGGGGGATACCAGAAAGATATTTATTTCTGGTGTGGTGCTTATGGGTTCTATTACATCTATCAAGGAAAAGTTTCAGATCAAGATTAGCATTTAAGAACAAGATTTTGAACATGTAAATAGCAAATGAGAACATGTGGAGTGAGTGTATGTTTAGCATGTTAAGGGACTGAAAAAGAAGGGCTGTGTGTTGTCTGAAGACAGAGTTTGTTATATTTCTGATAGCAGACTTTTGGTGAGTGATGATGGGCTTGAGGTAATTTGCAGTGGTTGAATCCCATGCAGATACCATATGTTAGATAGGGATAGATTAGCGCGTAGTATAATGAGAAGAGAGCTGAGTTAGGAACATAATATCTGATTTTAGAAAGTATACGACCGTTTTTGAGACTTTTTTGGCTAAATGTTGTATATACACGAAGAAACTTATTTTAATTACTGTGAAATAGGTGTTTTAATATTAATGCAGAGGAGTTTTAAATCAAAGTGCCCGCCCAGGCATCTCCACCACGTTCGAAAAGGCGCTTATTCAATCACTTATATCAACTCTACATAAATCCTTAGGCTAACACACTGATAATAATATTATTATATAGATTAATGGATATTAAATAGTCAAACCCACACATACAAATACACATTTGAGCTAGGAAAGTAATAATAGTTTTAGGTAATATTTAAATGCTAGGCTTTGATTTCCCCAGTGGCATTATTGCATTCATGATAGTACTGTATAAGATAAGGAAGTTATAATGTTACTTATATGATTATGCATTATGAGGGAGTGAAAGTCAGAGTTGAATATTTATGTGTGTTGTGAACGTTAGAGTGACGTCATGTACACAAAGGCGTGGGTACAGGCCGCCGTGTTGCTTCTTGTATCAGCGGGAAATACTACTGCATCTTCCCACCAAGATACAGGTGAGCTTTCTCACACCTGGGTAGGAGGGAAGTGTGGGCGGGGGCAGGTGTGTGGTGTAGGTGGGGCAGGTGTGAGGACGGGTGTGTGTGTGTACTGGTGGGAGGGGGGAGAGTTAGCGCGCCACAGAGCCATCACTGGGGTCACTGTATACCAAGCATCCTCCACATGGTTATATCGCTGTAAAAAAGGGCGTTTCTAGCGCTTAATTCACTGGTTAATGACCTGTTTAGATAACAGGTCATTAACTCATACGTTTTGTGCTAGAGAAAGAGCATCGGCAAATCAACTGTCCGCACTACACTCCGCTTAACAAAACCTAAGGGCAACGTTACTCGAGTTTACCTAAACTGTCTTGACGTTACGTTTAACGTTTCAGATTTTGCACATTCTTATGACCTGAGGTACACTGTTAGGTTACAGGCCGTCTATGTGAGAATGCAGAAGCACTCTGGCTAGGCTGTTTATGGTCACCTTCACATTTCTTGGCCTTGGAAGTCAAACCAGAGTAGTTATATATCGGCTAAATAATATTGGACTCGTGAGATCAGTTTGCAAGAGGGATCTCGGAGGTAAGATTACTGGTGGTATCTAAAATTGAGTAAATAGTGTTTATGTGCTGAAAATAGAGCACATCAACTGGGAATGCTGGGCCAGCATTCATATAATTCTACATAAATTAAAAAAAAAATTGTGTGCCCCAAAGAAAGGGTTAATGTAGTTTTGTCATATATCATTTCCATAGCAATTCATCTAGTAAAATGTATAACTGTTCTTTAGTTCACGTTACAGTGTAACCTCGATTTGAACTATGAGATCAACTTTGATTCGTTGGAGTGAGGGATTTGTTTCAACTGGAGATGCCTTCAGGAGGCATTTGTGAGACATCTTAAAAACAAAACCTGCAAGAAAAATAAATTTTACCCATTTCATTTTTGTAATGTTTGGTCCATCCACAAAAATAATAAAAAAATGTGATTAGAGCCATATTAAGAGAGCTATCATTTATACCCTAATATTTCCCATGCTCTGTGGGCTAATTTTATAGTGAAATTTTAATTTCAACTTATTACAAAATAGACAATTACCAGGAGAACTTGTCTGTAAAGAGAATTCACCAGATCTAGCATATGTCCCAAGCCCCATCCTCGAAATTTTATTTTCAAAGTAAGACTGTCCCAAATGTAAGTGAACAAAATCTGCAGTAACTTGAAATTTAAATAAACCATAGAATTTGGGTTGAAATATGCTCAATGGCTTTCCCAAGGCCCCCAACTGTTTCTTCTAATGTTGCATCATCAATGAAAATCATTAAAAATGTGATTGTAGCCATATTCAGGAAATTGCTATTCATGCCTTTATTTTTTATACTGGTGTAATTTCACTAAGCAAAATTTTTATATCAACCTGGGCAACTTTCCTACCAGTCTGGGCCCTGCATCCTAAGCAAATCTGCATATCATGCACTTTGCCAAACTCTTGTTAGTCAAAGCAGGTGAGTAAATCTGACCTGGAAAGACCAAGAAAGTGTATTTTACAATCAGAAATTTGCCAAAATGAGGTTTGTTGAATTGAGGTTTCACCGTATTAACATTAGCTAAATACAACTGGCTTCAGACACCAAAAAACTTATATCCTGTCTTCTATTATCATATTTTTTAAGGCAAATATTAAGGATTCAGTTCATTATAAATTATATTGAAAAGGTACATTGTGATTATAATACGATATTATTAGTTGGCATTTTCAACAGATCACATACTGTGCCGCAAATGTGGAACGGAGTTGACAGAAAACTCGCTGGACAACTTTGTTAATATCACTAGTCCATTATCGGAATCCACTCATCAGTTGTCAGTCCTTGGCCACTCTCATTTGATGGTGCAGATGCTTAGAAACCCGGCTGATGTAACATTCAATTTGGTGACTGTGAAAAGATCTGGTTGTTCTGGCATTGGAGAGGTGAGTATGTTCCAGACAAAGTTCGGTTTACCCATGATTTGGAAATGTCACAACAGTATTAATTATACAGCCGTTAGATACAGATCTGATGAATAAAGTAGAAAAGGAGAACAGTGTGGAAAACATATTTAAGAGTTTATATTATTGATGACAAAGTAGACTGCCATGAACTAAAAATGCATAATTTTTTTTAAAATTAGGGATGACATTGATGATGATAAAGAGTGACCTCCTGGTCTTTCTGTTACTGTAATTTAAAACATCCCAACTAACATATTTCAAATAGTTATTAGGTATTCCCTTACCAAATATTTTTCAGTTTTTGGATGTACAGTACAAAGTTTTTGGTGTCTGTGGGATATCTGGAGAATGCCTTCATGTATTGTTTTGAAAATACAGTATTAAGCTGTTGAATGATGGAACAAGGAAAGTCTTCAATATTAATAGACCATATAGCCTTCTAGTGAGAGAAAGTTGCAAATTCTTCATGATTGTAGTAATATGAAGAATTCCACGCATCAGGTCATTTCTTGAAATCCAATTCCAATAATTACCTCTCAATTTTTACATATTGATTGTATAATTAGATGCAATGCACTCCATAGTCTAAACCTCCATTTAGTGGCTCCTACTTAACACTAGGTCAATCCCTTATTGGATCTCTTCAAAATTTGGGGTTTGGGAAAACTCCATATTTTGGAGGGGGGTTGCTATGAAATCCAGAATGTTAAGTCATTTTCAGCAAACTGCTTTATTTTATTTTTGCTTGTGCTTTTGCTATTGTTCAGTGGAGAACAGAGTTCAAGTAAGAGGTGATCTAAATATTATTCTGAAAAACATTTACACCCAAGCTAATTATTTATTGAACAAGTTTGTAAGACATTTCTTAGAAAATTTTTAGTTAAAGAATGAGTTTTGGCTATGGGCAAGTCTAGGTTCTTAGTTCTTGTACACTATAAGTTGGTTATGACTGTACTCTTCAAAGATAAGGTTTCTGGGTAGGAATGTCTAGAACATGGGAAATACTGGCAATGATGGTGAACTCTCTATAGCCAGATTCTCTTGGTAGATAGCTATCTTAAGAAAGATTTAGATTGTTTTACTTAGTAAAATTTACCCCATGGAGAATAGGAAAAATTAGGGTAACTTTTAATATTGCTTGTGTTGTATTTTTAGTGATTCATGTACAGTAGGTGGGTACAACATTAGGAGAAACAACTCTTTCCATAGGAAATCTATTAAGAATATTGAAAATAAAATATTGTGGTGATCCACTCGAGAGGATGGTTTAATAAAACAGGATCAGTGACTACTATTATTACAGTTTATAGATCAGGTTACAGATTTGGGATGCGATATTGGGAAGGAATGTTACCCACTCATTTGGACGGTTTGGGGATTGAATGCCGACCTGCATTAAGCGAGGCTGTTGTTCTATCATCCAGCAAAAGTGGTTGGATTTGGGATGAGAGTGAGGACTAGCCAGTTGGCCTGGGGTGGCCTGCATAGTGGTGGATGGGGGAGCAGGTGGGATTGCTTGTTTAGTATAGTAATTTTCAGTTTGTTGTTGGCACTTAAACAAAACATTTGATGACATAGGGAGTTTGGGCATCTTATGGCTTTTCATTGTGTTTTGGCCATTGTTCTTTGGTTAGTAGTTTGGTAAGTAGGTAGCCTGGTATTGAGTTAATCATGATCCGTGTGTTCCCATGCCTCATAAAGGATGCAAGGGAAAATTTGTAGGAATTTTGTCACTGGTGGGCAAAAATAGCTTGAGTTTGGTATGGTGACAGGTAAGAGCCAGTGGATTTAGCATGGGGAGCTACTGAAGCAGTACCCAGAATGAGGTGTTTCATTATGCTTAATGCACTACATTTGTTTATTGACACACTTGTAAAGAGTGGGTTTTTTCTTACTAGAAATATAATATGAATGTGAGTACAGTATTTAATATTGGTTTTTTAGTTCCCATTTAAACCAAGAAAGGAACTATGCCAAAATCAGAGTGCTGGAATGAAAGGTTAAAACATGCAACGAGACCAGTCTGGTACCAAAAGTTCTTGTGGTACCGGTAAGTAACAAATGTATTTTTAAACTAAAAGGATGAAAACAGTGTAGATGCTTTCAGTGCATTGGTGTCATATACATAACATTTCCAAAATTCACTGAACAATTCCCTCCAAAAAATAATAGATTTCTGGAAGAGAATAAACAAAATTCTGAATATTTTGTCCCATTTTAAAAATCTGCAAATAAAATCCTTGCTCTTACTTTTAACATAATTGGAAGTTAATGTTATTTACAATAATATTTAGTTGGCATTAACCCTTATACGGCTCCAATTGTTATTTACAATTACCTTGTGTGCTCGAATCACCATATGCAATTTTTTTGTACACTAGTTTTGTGAACTATTTTTTGTCATTCTCATCCTGATGTAGGACTTTTAATTGGCTGAGCTGTTTAAGGGTTAATGACAAGCAGGGCAGCATTAGGAAGATAGGTAACCACACTATGCTTTTGGTGAGGTCTTGTGTTCTGTTGCAGTGGTACAGTGATCATACCTGGTTTCCTGGCTACTTGTGGAAGGTGTGCATCTGCCCCCGCTGCCAGGCACACCTAGGCTGGTGAGGATGACCTTATCTGCCTATATGTGTTGGCCAGTCAGCTGTGTGCATGTGTTGGTTTGTGTTAAACAGTCAGCTGTGTTTGTGTGTAATTACCTAAGTGTAGTTACAGGATGAGAGCTACGCTCGTGGTGTCCCGTCTTCCCAGTACTCTGTCATATAACGCTTTGAAACTACTGACGGTTTTGACCTCCACTACCTTCTCACTAAACTTGTTGCAATCGTCTATCATTCTGCAAAAGAAAACTGTCTAATATTTTTTGGCATCTTTGTTTCCTTAGCTTGAATCTGTGTATTCTTGTTCTTGAAGTTGCTGGTTTCAGGAATTCCTCTGTCAATTTGGTAGATTCCTGTTATTGTTTTGTAAGTGGTGATCTTTTTCTTCTACCTTCTAGCTTTGGCTTCTAGCTTTGGCATATTTAATGCCTCTAGCCTCTCCTCTTAATTCTTGTTTTTCAGTTCTGGAAACCATTTTGTAGCATGCCTTTGTACCTTTTCCAGTTTATTGTTGTGCTTCTTGAGATATAGGCACCATACAACTGCTGCATATTGCAATTTTGATCTCACAAAAGTCATGAACAGTTTCTTTATTATTTCACCATCCATGAAATTAAAAGGGATTCTAAAGTTGGAAAGTGACGCACATGCTCCTCGCTTTTTCAGGAACTTGTTCCCCTCTTCCTTTTGTCCTCTACTCCCTCGACCTCTAATGATTTTTTTTTGTTATATACCATTTCACAGACCCCTAGCACCTTGTAGAAAAATTAATTTCTTTTTTCTTTATTTCTATTCCCATTTTGACATTTTGTCTTATTGAGGTTAGCTTTCTTTAGCTTACCTTCAGCTTTTCTGTCTTCCCTCGAGAGATCTCGTCTTAATGAAAAAAGTTTTCCATCCTCATCACTTTGCAATTTCCTGGCATTCCTAAGCACTTCTATCATTTGTTTTACTCCATTAAATGTCACCCTTAATGGTCAAGATTTTTATCTTTTTTTTTTTTATTTCTGCCTATCCTAAAATCATTGATATTTTCCTTTGATGTGAGGCCTACTATTTTGTAGGCCTAAACCTACTATTTTCTCAATGATTTTTATCTCTGCTGCTCTGTCCGCCCCAGATATTATGTTCTTTTCCATCCACCCAAAAATAATTATGGGCTTACTTCTATCTACAGTGTTTTGTACTGATATACTGCTTGTGACAAACTCCTTCCTAATTGCTTGCCTAATATTGGATTCTTGCTGCTCATCCCTATTCTTAACTTCCAAACATATTTCTTTAATTGTTTCTTTTTCTTTTACAACTTGTGCATTTGTTTCTTTCATATCTTCTTTGAGCAATCCCTGAGTAACATCCTGGGCTTGATGTTTTCGTGAAGTGTCCCTAAGGCTGCCGTTGCTTAATTCTATATTGTTTCTAACCTGTAGGGATTCTCTCATGAGTTCCTCACCACATGTATCAATTTTTATCATAGTGCCAGTGCTTCCTGTGCCTCTTTTTGAGGGGGGGGCCACATTCTGGCTCCTGGTCTCTGGTAGGCCTAAAGAATTCCACAACTGATGGCACGTAGTAGCTTCGCACACCAATAGTAGCTCCATAGAGCCACTGAGGCTTACCCAGAAATTGACATTTAATTACATTCAACACTGGGGGGGCATCATATAATATATATTATAATAGCAGGGTCATATAATGACCCTGGATGGGCCTCCAGGATCAATACCATCTCATCAAGTGTCTTAGACTGTCATTGACCTACCAGAGACAAGAATCAGAATCAGAATCTGAGGCAAAGGAGCCGAGCATGTCTGAGACACCAGCAAGTCCAAGACACATGCTGGTGTCTGGAATAATAGGCTTTGGATTTTTTCCTTCAATGTGGTTTTATAATTTTCTAGAATTGAGTAATAAAAGAACATGAATTAAAGACAAAACCTTTCAAACAAGAAATGTAACAGGAATTTCTTTGTAATCTATGGAATTAAAACTCACACGGGCTTGCATACTTTGCAAGCTTTTGATTGGCCTTTGTCTTCTCCCAATCTGTATACCAAACCTTTGAAATATATTCATTAACTCAACATGTTGAGTAAGCCATCACTATTCTTGTTAAAGGACTACTTGGCAGGTACTGTACTGTGACAAATGTATTCATTTTCCCAAACACTAACCCTGATGCCAAGTTTTTTGTTGGTATCCTTGCTTTGTGGCATTGCTAAGCTGAATCAGTAATGGCAAGCTGTTTTGGGAGATCTGCTTTGTGGCATGCTAAGCTAAATCAGTAATGGCAAGCTATTTTGGCAATGTACCTCTGCTTGGCAATACTAAACTGACTCGGTAATAGTAAGCTATTTTTATGATTACTTTTGTTTTATGGCAATTTTCTAGTGAATCAGTCATGTGCCAAGATTAGTGCAGCTATTACTTCGCATATTTCTTTTACCAATTCTTTTTCCTTTTTCTTTTTTTTCTAGGATTTTTGAGCCAGTTGGAAAAGCCAGTATCAGCCATTTCAAAGCTTCATCAGAAGGCTTTTATGGGCTTATTCTTGAAAAACTGATTACTGAAGAATGTAAGTACTGTACTGTACTGTACTGCATAGTAATAAATAATAATCTTGTTGTGAAGAATGTTAGTAATAAGTTAGTAGCAAGTTGGTCGAGAATGCAAGTAGCATTAGTTAATGTGCTTTTAACAAGCCCGTCGCTTCCTCACTTCGTATATATACATACACCATATAAAGAATAGAAGTGGTAGGAGAAGAGAGATCTGGTCAACCAGAGAGATCTGGTTGATCAGATCACGATCAGGAGGCCTGATGAGAGACCAGGCTGTGGGGGCACTAATACCCAGAACCACAAGGGAAGGTGCATACAACAGGTCCACCTTCCCACTGAGTTGGACCTGATCACATAGCAGAGCATGCTCCACTTTGGGTGCAGGAACACCATAATCCAAGCATAAATGAGGAAATGGAGACTAGAGAGATAATTTAAACATGGGAAATACTTGAAGGCTAAGTCTCTACTGTGCACAATAAAATAACTCCTTGTTGGAGTGAAATATGGTGGAAAATGCAGCATAAGCTCAGTCTGAGCAATGTTTCAACTTCAGAGACTCATGGTTATTCAACCTTCATCAGAAAATACAAGAAATATTTCTGGACGAAGGCTTTTCCCTTCAACAGGGAGCTAGACTGGTTTCTGCAGGAAGTTTGTGATCAGCCTGGTTGTGGTTCCTATTGGGCCTGTAGGCTGCTAACAGGAGTAGCTGTAGTGATCATCATCTGCAGGAAAACCTGCCCTTGGATCAAGCTACATGATTAGAATTTGTAAACCAGATTAGTATATCTTTTTGGTTTACCTGACTCCCTGTCTTGTTTAGGAATAGATGATACTTTCTTCAGTTGGTTATGCTAGAAAAATATATATTTTTAGTGTAGTAGTTCAATGTACACATGATGGTCTACATAAATCTGTTCTTATGTACATGGTGAAAGAGGGACCTTTTGCTGGGGCATAGAGGGAGTGGAAGGGAGGGGAGGTTGGGGCTTATTTACAATTATTCAGAACATTGTTTTTATCATAATCAAACTATTTTTATTTTTTCCAGTCTCGGATTCTCTTCTTGTTGGTTTACCTAAGCATCACAAATATTAAGAAAATGGCAGCTGAAGTTAGTGAGAATGGTTCTGCAAATGGTATGGTAGAACTGGATGAAAAATACCTCGCTCAGCTTGAAGAAGAGTTTGTAGATCGCTATACAGAAGATGATAAAGGCTTCATGGAGGTATGCAAATAATACTGGAATAAGAATACTCCCCCCCCCCCTTTCCCAAAAAAATGTTGGTTATGACTATTACAAACATTCATTGTACATTTAAGACTGTTAAAGAGGGTGGTTGTATACCTGGAGAAGGTTTTGAGAGTTCTGTTCCCTGAGCTGGTCTCTGGCCAGGTTTAGGTTCCTCTTGTTCCTTACTCGGTCAGCTTCCAAGCCTTAGACTTGGCCGACTGTCTCTTCTTCATTCCGATTTCTGCAGTACTCTCCTCCTCCCTGGTAAGTGCCCATTTGTTCCTTCTCCATGGGTAGTAAGCATCAGGGAGCCATAAAGGGTTCCCTCCAAAAAGCCAGCATTCAGTGTAATGAAATGCCAATTTTTTGGTGAGTTCTGGTGACTCCCTGACATCTTCCCTCCCACAGAGAGTCGGGTAGCTTCATCATTCTTCAAATTAATGTTGGAGTGGCCTGTGAGCTGTGGCCTGGCCCCCCTCCTTTCCCCAAATGAGGGGGAGGGTAGCATGAACAAGGGAATGTTAGTTTTATGACATTTTTTATTATTTGTTTACATAGTTTGGGGCATTTTATGATAGTTTTTGAGTATACAATCCTTGAAGATGACCAGTTGGGATTTATTGTGACTCGCTGACTTTCGGGGTGCCTTTCTAGGTGGTTGCATAAATTAATAACTTAATATATAAGTGGCAAGGCTCCCTGCACTTTTCCTCTTCTTGATGGTATGTGCAGTTTGCATGAAGGGTTTATCCTCCCAATGACTGCAAGAGTACAAATGTTGGGAGACGCATTAATGTTGAGAATTACAAGGTTTCAAGTGTTTGTATTGTGTTGTAGATAGAGGAGCGGTGACTAAACAGAGGTGTGTGTTAGAGGGAGACTTGCCGCATTGTCGGGCGGGAGGTTATGTTTATGGCGTCAGCTGATCGTTGGTGCTCGTGCGACGAGGCAGTTTTTTCTGTGTTTGGCTGCTGGTTGTGCTAGGTATAAATGTGACACAGTTCAAATGTGGCCCAATTTGTTGGTCGACTGGAGATATTTAGCCAGTGCTTTGACAATTTGATACTTTTCATAAAACAAGAGATTATCTCCTAATATATGCTCGATGGTAAAAAATTATTTTAAGTGCGATAAGTACTATTGAGCCTGGCCTCGGGCCTGGCTCAGGGAGTAAATTAACACCTAGAACCCTCTACAGGTATGCTCCAGGTATACTATTTTGAAGTTTACTCTGGCACTATGATGTCAAACAGTGAAAGAGATAGTGTTTCAGGCACATGACAGTGTATGCAGAGTTTGTTGATGTCTGTTCTGTATTTAGAGCCGTGTGCTGCCAGTTTGATGTGTCCCAGCCTTAATCTGGTCATCGTTACATCAATTTCTCTGTCTTATATCTGACATGTTTCCAAGTTTCCCATTTCTTTTTTATGGACCCATAGTACAAAGATGAGCATGACATTTTCCATTTCATTACAAAATTTTGGGTGATGGTATCTTTGAAGGCTCCTTTACGTGCAACATGAGGAATTGGATGATGGATAATGTAAGGCGTATTATGCATCGCTTTGGCCAGTTGATCTACAAGTTTATTATGGAGTATACCATAATGCATTGGGACCCATTGGATAGAGATGCAATAGCCATTCAATTGATGTTCATGAAGTTGAAGGCATGGGTAAACAAACTCTTTGCACGTTGTGGAAGAGTACATAATTGCTTGAATCACACTCTAGGAATCATTACACATTGTATATATCCCAACTGGTTTTGTTATGATTACTTGGAGAGCTTGGTAAAAGACATACAATTTAGCTGTGAAAATAGATAGTTTGGTAACCGCCATACCTGCTTGAGATGGTATTGCGAAATCCATACTGCACTAGTGACCTCACTGTAGTGCGTTGTTCATGGGCAATGCACTGGGTGCATTGTTCATGAGGATGCGAGATCCACCCTGCACTTCTGGTGAGGGGACCTGGTTCTTCGGGCTCTAGGTCCTTGGTAGACCAGAGTACAGTACTTCTTCACCGATGGCACCTACATCGGAGATGGTAACTTGAGGAAACCAGCCGGACTCATCCAGAAATTGGCATTTCATTACATTTAATGCTAGCTTTTTTAATGTCAGAATAATAGAACTGGATGGTTTGTGTGTTTTCAGGTTCTATAGATCCTTAAATTTCATGTGTGACAAAATAAAGGGCACAGACCTTTTGTTGACTATTGGCAAAAGCTCCATATTCATGTAGAGAAAATGTAAGAATGCCTGATTGAAATATGAGTGAGTTTTTGATCATCAGATCATGTGTTAACACCAGTAGTTAACCTTATTTCCCTTATTGCATGATACATAGTATGTACGTATGATACTATATGATACTATATGTGATACATACATATAGAGTAATGTACTGGCACAGTTCCAAGTATATACAAGTATCCTTGGAACAAAAATGTGTATCAAATGTAACTATGTAATTTTCATTTCAATTACTGGACTTACATAGTGTATACTTGTTTCTTTGTATTGTCTAAACATTTTCTTGCGTCAGTTATGCCGCCTGTTGAATATGAACCAAATGTTTTAAAATAATTATGTCTTGAGAAATATGTTAATTTTGTTATTTTATTTAAAGGGCAAGATCTAGTTTATTTATAAGAGAGATTAGTATATCTGTTAGTAATTTATATAATGTAAATTTTTAATTACATATGTGCATCAATATTCATTTACGAAATTTCTATTTCAGTACTACAGTAAACCAATGCCAGATCCACCAATTCTGCCAGCAGAGAGGAGTGAACGCAGCAAGTATCGTGCAAGTTTACGAGGCAGAAACAGAGGCGGTGGCTACCAGGGTGACAGACGAGGAGGCTACCAGGGTGACAGACGTGGAGGCTATGGTTATGACAACAGATCAAACTATAGGGGTAATACCAGGGAGTATGGTGGGTATGGAGATAAGAGGGACTATGGAGGTTTTAAGCGAGATTATGATGGTTCTAGGAAGGACACTAGCAATGATATGAGGGGTTATGAGGGTGATAGGAGGGGACTCTTGTCAACACCAGGTGGTGATAGAAGGGGACTTCTATCACCACCAGGTGGTGATAGAAGGGGACTTCTGTCGTCTCCAGAAGGTGTTGACAGACGTGGACTCTTGGCAGCACCAGTTGGTGGCGGCGATAAACGGGGACTTCTCTCACCACCAGATGGTGGTGGTGGTGATAGGAGAGGACTTTTAGCCCCACCAGATGGTGGTGGTGATAGAAGAGGGCTTCTCTCACCAATGGACAGTGGTAGAAGGGGACTTTTAGCACCACCAGATGGTGGTGATAGAAGAAGTCTTCTAACTCCACAGGATGGTGGCAGTGATAGAAGAGGACTTTTAGCACCTCCAGACAGTGACAGACGTGGACTCTTAGCACCACCAGATGGTGGTAATGATAGAAGAGGACTCTTAGCGCCACCAGATGGTGGCAATGATAGAAGAGGACTTTTGGCACCACCGGACGGTGGCAATGATAGAAGAGGACTTTTGGCACCACCAGATGGTGGCAATGATAGAAGAGGACTTTTGGCACCTCCAGATGGTGGCAATGATAGAAGAGGACTTTTGGCACCACCAGACGGTGGCAATGATAGAAGAGGACTTTTGGCACCACCAGATGGTGGCAATGATAGAAGAGGACTTTTAGCACCACCAGATGGTGGTAGTGATAGGAGAGGACTTTTGGCACCACCAGATGGTGGCAATGATAGAAGAGGACTTTTAGCACCACCAGATGGTGGTAGTGATAGGAGAGGACTTTTGGCACCACCAGATGGTGGTAGTAGAAAGGGACTTCTGCCAGCACCACAAGGTGGTGACAGGAGTGGCTTCAGTGGAGACAATAGTGGTTTAGGTGGAGATAGAGGCAGTTTTGGTGGGGATAGAAGCGGTTTTGGTGGAGATAGAAGCAGTTTTGGTGGGGATAGAAGTGGTTTTGGTGGAGATAGAAGTGGTTTTGGTGGAGATAGAAGTGGTTTTGGTGGAGATAGAAGCAGCTTAGGTGGAGATAGAGGTGGTTTTGGTGGAGATAGAGGTGGTTTTGGTGGGAACAGAGGTGGATTAGGTGGAAATAGAGGTGGATTTGGAGGAGATGGAGGCAATTTTGTTGGAGACAGAGGTGGTTTTGGTAGAGATGGTGGTTTTGGCGGAGATAAAAGTGGTTTAGGTGGCGATAGAGGCAGTTTTGGTGGAGACAGACGTGGTTTGGGTGGGGATGGTAGTTATGGTGGAGATAGAAACAGTTTTGGAGGAGAAAAAAGTGGGTATGGGGGAGACAGGAGTGGTTTAGGTGGTGACAGGAGTGGTTTAGGTAGTGACAGGAGTGGTTTAGGTGGAGACAGAAGTGGATTTGGGGGAGATAGGAGTGGATTTGGGGGAGACCGGAGTGGATTTGGTGGAGACAGGAGTGGATTTGCTGGAGACAGGAGTGGATTTGCTGGAGACAGGAGTGGTTTAGGTGGAGACAGAAGTGGATTTGGAGGAGACAGGAGTGGTTTAGGTGGAGACAGGAGTGGTTTAGGTGGAGACAGGAGTGGTTTAGGTGGAGACCGGAGTGGTTTAGGTGGAGACCGGAGTGGTTTAGGTGGAGACAGGAGTGGTTTAGGTGGAGACCGGAGTGGTTTAGGTGGAGACAGGAGTGGTTTAGGTGGAGACAGGAGTGGTTTAGGTGGAGACAGGAGTGGTTTAGGTGGAGACAGAAGTGGATTTGGAGGAGACAGGAGTGGTTTAGGAGGAGACAGGAGTGGTTTAGGTGGAGACAGAAGTGGATTTGGGGGAGACAGGAGTGGATTTGGTGGAGACCGGAGTGGATTTGGAGACCGGAGTGGTTTTGGAGGAGACAAAGGGGGTTTTAGTGGAGATAAAGGTTTTGGTGGTGATAAAGTTGGTTTAGGTGGAGATAGAAGCAATTTTGCCGGAGATAGAGGTGGTTTTGGTGGAGACAGGAGTGGTTTTGGTGGAGACAGGAGTGGTTTTGGTGGAGATAGAAGTGGTTTTGGAGATAGAAGTGGTTTTGATGGTGATAGAAGTAGTTTTGGTGGAGACAAAAGTGGTTTTGGTGGTGACAGAAGCAGTTTTGGTAGTGGTGACAGAAGCAGTCTAGGTGGTGATAGGAGTGGTTACATGGGTGATAGCAATAGGGGTTCAACCCATAATCAGTCAAGTACCTCCTATTATGGGAATAGTAGTGGAAGGGACAGTGTGTTTTAGTTAACACTTACTAGGTAGTAATAGTGATTGTGCCTCATGCATTAAGGAAGGCTTTGAAGCCGACCAGGCAGGTAATTTTTTAACCTATGGAAGTTTCTGCCAACATGACTACCACACCCATACTTAGCAAGTTGTAGGGTCCAAGATCAGTTATTGATCTGGTAAGATCACACAAATACAACTAACCCTGGAAATTCATTCGCACTGGAATACAATCTTATCAATTAGTTTACATCTAGTACTCCAGTTACTGAATCAAGGTATGAAGAAACTGTCAAAAGGGTTCTGCCTTGCCCAGTAATCAAACCTGGGGTTTCAGTTGCAAAGCAGGGAACAGATTCACGAAGCAGTTACGCAAGTACTTACGAACGTGTATATCTTTCCTCAATCTGTGATGGCTTTGGTTACATTTATTAAACAGTTTACAAGCATGAAAACTCCCCAATCAACTGCTGTTATTGTTATAAACAGCCTCCTGGTGCTTCAGAGCTCATTAACTGTTGAATAATTGTAAACAAAGCCACGAAAGATTGAGAAAAGATGCACAGGCTTGTAAGTGCTTGCGTAACTGCTTCGTGAATCTGGCTCCAGGTGCGCTGTCTAACACACCTCGGGATTACCAACTACCTGATAAAGAACTATTGGTTAATTATATGTTGTCCGTAACATACATGCTCTTGCATTCGGAGCAAGGTTACTTGTAAAGAATCTTCCTCAAAAGATTCATGTCTTGTCTCTTGAAGTCTTTTGAGTGTTAACAACTTGGCATTAATGTTTATAATGTTTCCTGAAGAACTCTGCAAGTTTGGTGACTCAAAGAAAGTCTTACTGTGCCGTATGAAATATAAACAAAAATACAAAAATAAGGGTTGCTTCAGCAGTGATGCATGGAAAATTTGAAAATTCTCAGTTGACAAAAGGAAGAATATGGTATTTACGAATTGAAACTTCAGAAAATAATGTGTATTTTTGAATGTTTTGTTAGAATAAGTGGTGCTGCAGTATGAAAGTGAACAGAAAAAGTACCATTATGAGTGAATAAGAGTTTATTTTGCTTTTATGTTTGTGCTTGTGGCCCTCTTGAGTGACCAAGGCCACATGACTGTACTCCATGGGTACTGGTGTAACACAGCAGAAAATCTCATACTAGATAATGCTAGCTACTCAAACAGGGTTTTTATCATTTTTATGCATGAAAAACATGATGATGCTGTATATACCAGAAGATATTAGGACACTGTATATACCAAGACATTAGGATGCTCTAGGTTCAGACAAACGTTTAAGTACAATACTACCAGTATGTTTGGTCTAAGTGGCCCAAGATGTTGCAATAGCAGAAGGGTGGTTTGTAACACTTCATTATAGATAAATAACCCAATGCACACACACACACACACATGGAAAGAAAGGAATGCGATGATGTTGCAGTCCGTGCTAAGCCATGGAGCCTGTTTTGACTTGAAGGAGGTCCAAGACGGGCCAAAGTGTCATCATATTCCTCTCCCGTGCGTGTGGGTTGGGTTACTTTCAGGCATGTTATTGTGACATTCTCTGCATTTTGCATAATTTTTACATATTTATTTTTATTTTGTAATACTATAATTGTGCTGTGGGGAAGATGATAATATGCTGTACTTTGGTATTAAAATAATGTGAGCCTTAAAATTAAATAAAATTGTGCTGCTGCTGTTGCTGTTGCAAGTTCTGTATTGTATATTGCATGAAGGAAATATGTTTATTGATGAAGTAGTTTGGAAAGGAAGGAGGACTTTCAGGTTATCATGTTTTTTATGAAAATCATTCATTGTCAATCTGTTTTGAGGGAAAATAATAATTTCTTTACTAATGTCTTGGGAAAATTTTGACTTAACTATATTTTCTTAAATAATTTTTCAGTGCTACTTAAGTAACTTAAGCTACTTGTTTAAATATATTCTTCAATATGGATAATCTCTGAAATTTATAAATAGTTATTAGACATGTATCCAGTTTGTCCTTGAGTTTATGAAATTATAATGTATGTGTAAAGTGTACATCATGTACCGTTATTCAGAGCAAGGTTTAAGGTGATCATACATTGGCTAATGACTTTTATTACTCTAAGATTCCTTTTTGATTAACAAACAGCTGTTTGGAACCCTATAGTTAGCTCATTGATTTTCTATCCAGGCCAGGATTGTTTATTACAGAAAGAACCTTACTTGGAGAATAAAAAGCCTCATGTCTGCTATGCCACAGTTGACCTTGTATCAAGAAGATAGCCAGACTATATTCTGGGTTGATTTTTTATTTGATTATGTTGCACACACCCCCAATTTCTTAATGGGACTTTAAATCAAGAGACATTGTTACCATTAAGAGAAATAAAGTATTGTATGTATAGATTAGTACCTCTACTACCATGTCCTATATTTACTGTAACAAAGATGTATGTGACGTTCAATATATATTTAATTAGATTTTTTTTTTTCGTGGGCTCTGATGGTGTTCACTGACAGATGCTCTATTTTCTCCCTCTGTGCTCCTTGCAGTACCTGCTACATATCTTTAATGATATTTGGGTGTCTTCTGTCCCCAATGACTGTGTTTTTTCCTATTATTGAAGCCTGGTACTTGAGGGGCCTCCCTTAATGATTTTTATCCCATTGCCTTAACAAATTGCATTTGCAAACTTGAATGTATGATACAGTAAATGTATGTCTCGTGTGGTTCCTAGAACGTCTAAATTGGTTTCACATAGGTCACAGCATAATGGATATTTTGTTGAGACCTCCAAGTTAACTTGACAAGACTACATCTGTATTGCCTTTGCTGTGAATTCCTAGTCATTTTGGCCTGGAAAAACCTTATGATACCACCTGGAGGTAAAATATTCTTGCCCAGCTGCATTCCTTTGGCCTTCTTCTTGATAGTAGGTGCAGTTTGCATGAAGGGTTTGTCCTCATGATAACTGCACCAGTACAGATGTTGGGAGATGCGTTTATGTTGAGGATGACAAGAGTTTCAAAAGTGTTTGTTGCGTTGTGCTGTAGGTAGAGGAGCGGTGGTTAAAACAGAGGTGTACGTTAGGAGGAGACTTGCCGCATTGTAGGGCGGTATGTTGTTTATGGCATCAGCTGATCCATAGTGTTGTGACGAGGCACTTGTTTTCTGTGTAGCTGTTGGTGGCGCCAGGTATAAATGTGGCAAGGGTCAGATGTGACACAATTTGGAGATATTTAGCCAATGCTTTGACTTTGGTATTTTTCCTGTAATGAGTGGTCACCTCCTAGTGTATATTCAATGGTAAAAGGTATTTTAAGTGCGATAAATACTTGTTTGAATTTACTCTGGCACTATGATGTCGGAAGCAGTGAAGGAGATAGTGTTTAGGTTGTTTCAGGCACCTGACAGTGGATGCAGAGTTCGTTGATGTCTGTTCTGTCGTTAGAAATGTATGCTGCCAGTTTGGTGTGTCCGAACGTTAATCTGGTCATTGTTATATAAATTTCTCTGCTTTTATTTCTGTCATGTTTCCAAGTTTCCCATTTCTTCTTAATGGACCCATAGTACAAAGGTGAGCATGACGTTTTCCATTTCGTTGCAAAATCTTGAGTGATGGTATTTTTGAAGGCTCCTTTATGTGCAACATGAGAAATTGGATGATGGGTAATGCGAGGCCTTCGTGGCTTCGCATTACTTCAGAATGTGATTAATTCGTTAATTCAGAATGTGAATTTGCCTTCGTGGCAATCTCCCGATTTTCCTTCAAAGCTTTCTCTCCCGTCGCTCATTTCAAGTGGGGGTTGGTTTGAAGGAGTCCCTCAGGGTAGTGTTCTGAGCACCACTCTCAGAACACTAGAAGACAACACACTCAGAGCATTGCCAAGTGATGGAAATGGGGTCCATTAGTGCCCACAGGATGCGTATGGGGTCCACTACCGCCCACAGGATGGGTATTTGATCCACTACTGCCTACCGGATTGGTATGAGTTCCCATACCCCTCTTACGGGTGGTAGTGGATCATATATACACTAGTGCTTAGTTGTGGACCCTATATCCATCCTGTGGATGGTAATGGATCCCATTCCTTTCCTATGGGTGGTTGTAGGCCCATATCAGACCACTACAAGTGGTAGTGGATGTCATACTCATCTTGTAGACAGTAGTGGACTCTCATGCCCATCCTGTTGATGGTAGTCTAGGGGTATGATTCCTGTTCTGGTGCAGGAGGTCCCGGGTTCAGATCCCAGACAGGACCCCAATTGTTCTCACGCCAGGGGAATATATGCAGGAATCTAGCGTATTTATGTAGGTAGCAAGAATCATACCCATCCGGGTCCATTAGCACCAACAGGATTGGTGTGGGGTTCACTACTACCCAAAGGATGAGTATGGGGTCCACTACTGCCTACCAGATTGGTATGGGTGCCCATACCCATCCTACGGATGGTAGTGGACCATATATACAGGAGTGATTAGTTGTGGACCCTATATCTATCCTGTAGATGGTAGTGGATCCCATTCCCATCCTATGGGTGGTTGTAGGCCCCATACCCATCCCACAGGTGATAGTGGATGCCATACCCATAATGTGGGTGGTAGTGAACCCCATGCCCATCCTGTTGATGGTAGTCTAGGGGGCACGATTCCTGCTTTGGTGCAGGTCCTGGACAAGCTCCCAATTTTTCTCTAATCAGGGAATATATGCAAGAATCTAGCATGTATATATATACAGGTAGCAGGAATCATACCCCTAGGGGTCCATTAGTGCCCACAGGATGGGTATGGGGGTCTACTACCACCCACAAGATGGGTATTGGGTCCACTACTGCTTACTGGATTGGTATGGGTGCCCATGCCCCATCCTAAGGGTGGTAGTGGACGATATATATATACACACACGAGTGATTAGTTGATGTCCATCCTGTGGATGGTAGTGGATCCCACTCCCATCCTATCAGCGGTGTTGTAGGTCCCATACTCATCCTACAGGTGATGGTGGACACCATACCCATCCTGTGGGGCAGTAGTGGACCCCATGCCCAACCTGTTGATGGTAGTCTAGGGGCATGACTCCTGCTTTGGTGCAGGTCCTGGGTTCAGATCCTGGACAGGCCCCCCAATTGTTCTCACATCAGGGGAATATATGCAACAATCTAGCCTATATGTATAGATAGCAGGAATCATACCCGTAGGGGTCTATTAGCGCCCACAGGATGCATATGGGATCCACTACCACAGGATGGGTACTGGGTCCACTACTGCCTACCGGATTGGTATGGGTGCCCATACCCATCCTACAGGTGGTTGTGGACCCAATATCCATCCTGTGGATGGTAGTGGATCCCATTCCTATGGGCGGTAGTGGACCCCCATACCATCCAGTATATTGTATGCCCCATACTCATCCTACAGGTGGTAGTGGATGCCATACTCATCCTGTGAACAGTAGTGGACCCCATGCCCGTCCTGTTGATGGTAGTCTACGGGTATGATTCCTGCTTTGGTGCAGGAGGTCCCAAGTTCAGTTCCTGGACAGCCCCCAATTGTTCACACGCCAGGGAATATATGCAGGAATCTAGCGTATTTATGCAGATAACCGGAATCATACCCAACCGGGTACATTAGCACCCATAGGATGGGTGTAGGGTCCATTTCTGCCTACCGGATTGGTATGGGTGCTCATACCCATCCTACGGGTGGTAGTGGATCCCATACCCATCCTGTGGGCAATAGTGGACCCCCCCATGCCCATCCTGTTGATGGTAGTGGACCCCATACCCCCTCCTGTGGACAGTAGTGGACCCTATACTCATCCTGTGGGGTGGTTGTGGACCTCATACCCATCCTGTGGGTGGTAGTGGGTTCCATACCCATCCAATAGTTGGCAATGGACTCCCATAAACATCGTACAGGTGGAAATGGGCTATGGGGCAGTGGAGTCTTCCTCCTCCACATCACTCCTAATGCATTCCATCCATAACATATTCCATATGTTATATTTTGGCACAAATTGAATTATTTACAGATAATAGTTCATAGAATAATTATAATAATTTACTGAAAACTATCAATATTTCTCGTAACTAAACTACAAGCCTACAATAGGATATAGCTGATTGATGATACTCGAATAGGATTGAAAATGATACGTACATTTCATACCAGAAGAGGGCCTGGAAAAATAATCAATAAAATTTGATCAAACCGACTAATAGCTAATAACTAAGTCTACCACAGGAGAACTATGTACGTAGGTACTACGAGCATTATCTGATATAAGTACTAAAATATAATAATAATAATAACTAATAATTTATTAGCAAGAAGGTACAATGGGTTAGTGAGATTACCTAAAATTGGTATTTTTACATACCAATGTGCACTAACATGCACAGTATTTCAGGCAGGTCCTTAATCTAACATACCAGGCAAGATGAAAGGGGAATATTGTAGCAAGGTTATTATATCAACAAATAACTACAACCTAAGTTATCAACGGTGATTACACTGGTAAGAATATATGACTTAAGTATTAATATTGGGGATTTGGGTAGTACAAGATACAGTGTGAGTTTGAAGCACAAGGTAGGAAACTATGAGGATGAAATTGGGTACTTTTTTTTATTTTATTTTTGAACTACAATATACAATACCATACTACTATGGTATGCCAAGAACAGATGCAACATCTGAGGTCTTCTCAACTCTCCTACATATATAAAGAACTGATATCTGTGAAGATTAGTAATTGACAGTCTGTGTGACTGAAATGTGGTACAGACCCCAACAACAAGTTCTGCACCAACAATGTACCACCTTGATATTTGAAACTATATCCTGTGTGATAATACCTTTTGAATCTCCTGTGACGCAAACGGTGCTAATTAGTCTTTACTGCATGGTGACTTTGTTTGATAAATTACTTATTTTAAATTTGGAATTGACTGGCAATAAAAGGTGAAAATGTCTCTCATGTATGTGATGAATAATTTAATTTAATACAGTATTTCATTATCTAAAAAAAAAAAGTCATGACCTAATTTTGTTAGGTGCTTCACTGTGTATCCTATAGGTACAGGAGTATCACGAGTGTTGCTGAGTCTGGTTCTGGCAGTACTCTATTATTTCTGAAAATATAGGAACAAAAGTATGAAATAACAGCTCTATATAATTAGCAAGGCATAATAATATACAGTACAGTAAAAAAATAATATGCTTTCCCTAGGATCATAAAAGCCATAAACACACAATAATCTTTTTCAAATGCTCTCTCTTCCCACAGTAGCTGTCTTATTGTAAAAGCTGTATCTGATCAATTAAATCTCTTCCACTACAGAATTCATCTTGTTTATTGCAAACTCAATTTTAATGTCTCATGTTTCATACACTTTGTCCACTACGCTTTGTAGACTAATGCCTTAATAGTTGGTAAATACTTGGATTATCTGACATAGTACAGTACTACCATATATTTGTAATATGCATTCTCTCTTGGAAATCATGTTGAGAGCCACTTACATATATACCGAACAAAACTATCCATGGATTAGCAGGTACAGTATTAGTGTCAGAGAAATATTTTAAATGGAGTTAACTTACTTCTTGCAATATCTCGATAAGCTGATGTGGTAGGAGCATCTGGTTCATCAGTCAAAAAATTCTGCCCGTGGTCACAAGATTGAGCAACTCTTGGATCTAATGGCAGCTGACCAAGCAAATGTAAACCAGCATCAGCTGCCAGCTGTGTACCACCTCCTGTAGTGGCTGGAAAGATGGCTGTTTCTGTCTGAAAAATACATAATCAAGCATTGATGTATTAAAAAGCACTTATTTGGTGGGCACCCAGTGGATCTGTGAGCTATTTCTGGTACCACCAAACCTTAGCTCTACACACCAGGCCTCTGAGATCCATCTGTTACCTACTAGATGCCAGAACCAGAATTTTGATCACTGAGGTGAGCTTCAGCTCACATTCAAGTAAGTTTACTGAAAAAATAAAATACATCTCAAAAGGATAGAGTAGCTCAGGCTATTTCTACCCTCCTCTATTTCAGGTCCCTAAAGGAGGGGGGTTCACAAATCCATATACTGTAGTACAGTCCCCATGGTGCAGTAGTAACACATTTGCCATGCACTTCGTGGGCAATTTGGATTAGGCTCGTATCCTAGCTGGGGAAGATTGACTAGGTGCTAATATTTAACTATACACCTCTGGTCGCCCTGTAGTAATTCAGTTTCATCATTGTCTGATGTGCTAATGGGTTGCGGGACACTTCTTATTCCAGAAAGTGGAATGCATCATCTAAAGCTCCTACCTCAGGATAAGCACTCAGCGTTTCAAGGCACTGTGAAAGTGTTAGTGGTGAGAGAGCTTGGCACTTCACTTTAGCCCTATTCCATGTTCCCAAGACCTGGTGCACGACTATGTAATTGTGCATGCAAGCCTATCACAGCATATTTGGAGTATGCTTGGAACATTGCTCCAAGCACTCAAAACTAGGTTTATGCTACAGTGTACAGTATAATACCATCAAGGGCAAACACCACCAACTAGCTGAACAAGCAGAACACCAGAGCCAGCACAGAAGAGAGGTTTACTCAGTATGCACTACATCAGCTATAGAACTGAGGTTAGGTGACAGCTGGGTAGTCCTGCAAATGGGTAGGAGAGGGCTTCCCTAGTAGGTGAGCATTTTCATGTTCCTGTAGAAACTGGTACCATCTGCAAACATTAATATTTGCTTTACCACTTGAACCTAAAGCTAGATGTCTAGTATTAAAATCCCCAACCACAAGCATAATTTCAGAAAATAAAATATCTGACAAATATCTTGAATCAAAGGATGTTACAAACATTTAGATTAATGAAATATAATTCTCAGTCTTGTAATTGTATCCAGAAATCAATTCTTTCAATACCTTTATATCAGCTGTCAGGGCGCCTGACAGCTGAGTGGACAGTGCTTCGGATTTGAAATCCTGAGGTTCCGGGTTCTATCCCCGGTGAAGGTGGAGACAAATGGGCAAAATGTTTCTTTCACCCTAATGTCCCTGTTCACCTAGCAGTAAATAGGTACCTGGGAGTTAGACACCTGCTACGGGCTGCTTCCTGGGAATGTGTAACAAAAAGGAGGACTGGTCAAGGACTGGGCCGCGGGAACACTAAGCCCGGAAATCACCTCAAGATAACTTCAAAAAGATATCTCCCAGGTTTCTCAGTTATCTTAGCAGGTATGGTATTATCTTAACACCATACCTGTTGTATGGTGTTATGATGACAAAACATAATTTCTGGGGGGGGGGGGTTAATAACTACCTGTGATGCATCTAACAGTCCCTAGATGACAGTCATGTAGTATTCCAGCCAACCTGCCCTCTCACTCTGAGTTGCGTGTACTGAACCCCCTCTAATCCCCAGTCCCCAATTCCACAGGAAAGAAGGAAACAGGGCAGTGATGAAGAGTTAACGGGGCCCACCAGAAAAAAAGACCTTTCAATATATACAATGTTTGATTTCTGAGAGACAAATAAAAAAAGTGCCTAGATAGAGCATGTTGACTTTTCTGGAGAACTATATACAGTACCTTGCACTTGGGGCATACAAATGTGGTCATGTTCTCCACAATACCGATTATTGGAATGTTGACTTTTTGGCAGAAAGTAATTTCCTTGCGAACGTCAAGTAGAGCCACCTCCTGATGGAAGGATATGGTAACATTAATGTAACACTGGCATTAGAAAGTTGACATGATTGGCAAATTACGCAAAATATGGTTCAGCCCTAAAATAAGCTGCTGGTAAGACAAGATGATATGAAGAGCATGCTTGAGCCACTGTACTGGATGACAATAGACAATAATATTAAAAATATGGCTAAAATTATAAATGTGAGTAGGTCAGTCAACCTGCGGTGTTGTAACAATAACTGCAGCTACGGGAGGAGCAGCAGAGAGGTACTGCACAATACTCAAATGTTCGTCACTAGTTCCTGGCGGTGTGTCCACAATAAGGTAGTCCAGAGAGCCCCAATCCACATCACGCAGGAACTGTTTGATCATCCCTAATGTGAGATTAGTATTAGTATAATATTAATTGTGAACAAAATTAAAATAAACTAGTTATGAATAATAAAAAACTTCATACAGTCGACTGTCAATACAATGCAGGAATGTGTTTGTGAAGACCCCTCTGCTTTATAATACATATATTGTATTGCTAATAACTTCATGAAGAACATGGAATATATTTAATTTTTATTTTCATTAAATATAAAACACAGAATAATAAACAAAAGCTGTCTCTATGAACGCTGTACTGTAATGATAACATCTCTCTGACTCCTATTGTGATTGACAGTCAGCACGTTTTTGTACAGTACTGTATTATCTTTTTTTAATATAAAAACTGATATAAACTGAAGGTTATTAAACATGGATACATCCAGGATCTCAGGCTAACAGAAGGAAGTCGGAGACTGCACATCGATCATGACCAAATACCATGACTGCCAGGGAGGGGATAAAAAAGAAAACAGTGAGGGGAGGAGAATAAATGTAATAATTGGTTTACATGCTTTACCTCCTGCCCCTATCCCATTCACCCCCATTTATCTTAGGGAGTAGATCTTTCAATAGGTACAACTGACAATTTTGTGTACTGTACAGTACTACTTTCTCCCAGTAAATTACTCAAGTAGGCATCAGTCTTAACAAAAATATTTCTTACAATTTAAATCCTTTTGTGTAGTCCTCCCACCTATGAGATCAAAAGAAATATAATAACACTAAAATACAAAAATTACCATTTTCATACCATTTTTTTTTGGTCCTCTCCAAATGACAGCATCATCTGCACTTTTTAGAAGGAACCCTATTGACATCACTGCCAAGTTTTCTGCAACATACTGAGAGCAAGAGATCTTTTTTGTATTAACTTATATGAAACATTAACTCACTGGACTCACATTGCAGTATTAATGCAAAGAAACACAAACAATGCAAATGTCTCAGAACTGCAATTATTGACCTAGGATGGCTTTTATAACAAGACTGCAACATTACAAATTTGAAAATACTAAATTAATTTGAGCTTATTTAACAATGCAATACAGCAAAGCTGTGGGGCAGAACTTACAATAGGTGACCAGCCCGCCCCAGAAGAGTGGACCTTTTCTTCTTGAGCACCCAACAGTCGGGGCTGAGATGGGCCACAGATATCAATGTCTAAGATTCCAACCTGGAAGTAATTAAATATTAGTGTGTTAAAAAATTTGTTTTCTTCCTGTGTAATAAGGGTTACTTTCTGACTGCTTATGCCTCCAAAATATAGAAAATGGTTATTATTTTCCCCTCAGTTTGCTTTGATCTTTGTCTAAGAGAGCTTAGTGAAGACATCTTGAAGGCACTTGAAGGCTGCCCACATGAAAATGTGTTACAGCTCTAGATAAGGAGTCTTGATTGTGTGAAGGCTGCCAACATGCAACAACAGCTAGGAAAGGGAGTCAGCAGTCTTCCAAGTACTTGGCATCTTCCCTAAGCTATCCGAGACAAAGGTGAAACCAAAGTTTGAGGGGAATAATAGTCGTTTTCTCTACTTTGGAGGCATAAGCAATCAGAAAATAACACAACCCCAGGGATAAAAATTGGGTTACATTATAATACTGATCACCTGTTCACAGGTCCTCAAACACCCCATTTCAATAACAAATACAAACCACATAAAGTCACAAGAGTGTTACCAATACCAACACTACACACAAAAACATTACCTACAGTAATAGAAAATATACTCCCACAAACAACAACAATACTACCACCTCCACACTAACACTGTGTACTGCTACCTCCATCACCAACATTACCACAACAGTATCATTCATGCACAAAGAAATCGCATTAATGTTATATATCAATGAGAAAATCAGTAGGAGCCATGAGGAGGAATGGAACCTATGTGCTGGATACTCCTAGGCAAGCTCTATAGACCACCACACCATGGCATGGTCAATAGCATTGCAACCTGGGCTTTAACTGCATCCTCTATGATTCCTGTTGGAGGTAGAACAAGTGGACCAGAGAGCATGGGGAGGGGAGGGCGTTGTGTTAAGCCATGATTAAGCTTCTGTGAAAGTCTCAGGAACCCTAGAGGATGCAGTTGAATCCCAGGTTGCAATGTTGCTTCTCTATGGGGTAGTGTAGTGAATAGAGCGTGCCTCGGAGTACCCAGCGCATAGATTCTAATCCTCCACATGGCTCCTACTGATTTTCTCAGTATCATTTATTGTACGATAAAGGAACAACAATATTACCACCACCAAATGGAATACGGAAGTGAGGGGAGGTGAAGTGTAGGTGGTGAGGGGAGGTGAAGTGTGGGTGGTGAGGGAGGGGATGAGGGGAGGCATAGGAAGGCAGTGAGGAGAAAAGGAAGATAATGAAGGGAGGGAATGGAAAGGTGTGAAACGAGGGGAAAGAAGTAGGTGAGGAGAGGGGAAGGAAGGGGGCGAGGAGAGGCGAAGGAAGGGGACGAGGAGAGGCGAAGGAAGGGGACGAGGAGAGGCAAAGGAAGGGGGTGATGACAGGGGAATAGTGAGGGGAGGGGGGGGTGAGAAGAGGGGAAAGAAATGGGTGAGGGGAAGTTAAGATAGGGAAAAGAGGATGGGGAGGATGGGAAGGAATGGGTGAGGAAAGGTGAGAGGAGTATGTATGTATGTGGTGAGGAAAGATGAGGGGAGTATGGGAGTATACTACAAAGTATGTGAGGGGAGGGGGGAAAGGAAGTAGGTGAGGGGAGAGAAAGGAAAAAGGTGCGTAAGGAAAAGAAAGGAAAAAAAAGGGGGAAGATAAAATAGGATGGGGAGAGGAGGGTAGACCCGAAGACCGCGGAGAGTGTTAAGAACATGACAGAATGTACCCATGACAAAAGCTAAAACCAAAAACGTGATTACATTACTAAGGAGGTTTGGGGGTGGCCGGGGAGGAGCATTAAGAGGCCGGCACAGTAGCTGGCAGCGCCCTCCCAGGCTCGCGTGACCACCCCGCCATCCTACCTTGATTTGTCCTCTGCACCCCCTCCCCCTCCGCCCCACCCACGCGCACACACACACACACACACTACTGCGGTATATTTTTTTACAGGTGTAGCTGCTACAATGTGAATATTTCAACCCATCCTCCTGTTTAGATAGCATTTGTTGTTACTAATGTTGACCTTCGTGTGTGTGCGTGCGTGCGTGCGTGCGCGCGCGTGCGTGCGTGCGTGCGTGCGTGTGTGTGCGTGTGTGTGTGTGTGTAATTACCTAAGTGTAATTACCTAAGTGTAGTTACAGGATGAGAGCTACGCTCGTGGTGTCCCGTCTTCCCAGCACTCTTTGTCATATAACGCTTTGAAACTACTGACGGTCTTGGCCTCCACCACCTTCTCACTTAACTTGTTCCAACCGTCTACCACTCTATTTGCGAAGGTGAATTTTCTTATATTTCTTCGGCATCTGTGTTTAGCTAGTTTAAATCTATGGCCTCTTGTTCTTGAAGTTCCAGGTCTCAGGAAGTCTTCCCTGTCGATTTTATCAATTCCTGTTACTATTTTGTACGTAGTGATCATATCACCTCTTTTTCTTCTGTCTTCTAGTTTTGGCATATTTAATGCTTCTAACCTCTCCTCGTAGCTCTTGCCCTTCAGTTCTGGGAGCCACTTAGTAGCATGTCTTTGCACCTTTTCCAGTTTGTTGATGTGCTTCTTAAGATATGGGCACCACACAACAGCTGCATATTCTAGCTTTGGCCTAACAAAAGTCATGAACAATTTCTTTAGTATATCGCCATCCATGTATTTAAATGCAATTCTGAAGTTAGAAAGCATTGCATAGGCTCCTTGCACAATATTCTTAATGTGGTCCTCAGGTGATAGTTTTCTATCTAGAACCACTCCTAGATCTCTTTCTTTATCAGAATTCTTTAAAGATTTCTCACATAATATATAGGTTGTGTGGGGTCTATGTTCTCCTATTCCACATTCCATAACATGACATTTATTAACATTAAATTCCATTTGCCAAGTGGTGCTCCATATACTTATTTTGTCCAGGTCTTCTTGAAGGGCATGACAATCATCTAAATTTCTTATCCTTCCTATTATCTTAGCATCATCAGCAAACATGTTCATATAATTCTGTATACCAACTGGTAGATCATTTATGTACACAATAAACATCACTGGTGCAAGAACTGAACCCTGTGGTACTCCACTTGTGACATTTCTCCATTCCGATACATTGCCTCTGATTACTGCCCTCATTTTTCTATCAGTCAGAAAATTTTTCATCCATGATAGAAGCTTACCTGTCACCCCTCCAATATTTTCCAGTTTCCAGAACAACCTCTTATGTGGAACTCTGTCGAAAGCCTTTTTTAGGTCCAGATAGATGCAGTCAACCCAGCCATCTCTTTCCTGTAATATCTCTGTGGCCCGATCATAGAAACTGAGTAAATTCGATACACAGGATCTTCCTGATCGAAAACCATACTGTCTGTCTGATATTATATCATTTCTCTCCAGGTGTTCTACCCATTTAGTTTTGATTAGCTTTTCCAATACTTTCACTATTACACTTGTCAATGATACAGGTCTATAATTGAGGGGGTCTTCCCTGCTGCCACTTTTGTAGATTGGAACTATGTTAGCCTGTTTCCACACGTCTGCTACGATTCCTGTACACAGGGATGCCTGAAAGATCAGGTGAAGTGGAATGCTGAGCTCAGATGCACATTCTCTCAGAACCCATGGTGAAACGCCATCTGGGCCAGCTGCTTTGTTCCTCCCGAGCTCCTTTAGCATATTTTCCACTTCATCTCTAGACACCTCTATCCGCTCTATGTTGTTCTCTGGAATTCTTATTGTGTCTGGTTCTCTGAAGATTTCATTTTGTACAAACACACTTTGGAACTTTTCATTTAATGTTTCACACATTTCCTTTTCATTTTCCGTGAATCTGTTTCCCATTTCCAACCTCTGGATATTATCCTTTACCTGCAATTTGTTGTTTATGAATTTGTAGAATAGGCCCGGTTCTGTTTTACATTTATCTGCTATCCCTTTTTCAAAATTTCTTTCTGCCTCTCTCCTTACTGCTGTATAATTGTTTCTCGCATCTTTGTATCGCTGGTATGTTTGGGGGTTTGGCCTCTTCCTATACTGATTCCATTTTTGTGTCTTTTGGTCTCTTGCCCTCTCACAATTTCTGTCGAACCAATCCTGTTTTCTGGTCCTGCATCTCTGTTTTGGTATAAATTTTTTTGTGCCTTTATCATATATTTCACAAAACTTGCCATACATCTCATTCACTTCCTTGCCTAGCATCAAGTCTGTCCAATTATACTCACTAAAAAAATTTCTAAGGTCACCATAATGTCCTCTCCTGAAGTCTGGTTTTTCAACTGCTTCAACCTCCTTATTTTCTTCCAGCTTATAACGCATTGCATACTTTATTCCCAAAAAGACATGGTCACTTTTACCCAAGGGAGGAAGGTACTGAATGTCAAATATCTCTTCCTCCTTCCTGGTAAATATCAAATCTAGCATGGAGGGAACGTCCCCTTCCCTCATCCTCGTAGCTTGTTTAACATGTTGATACAAGAATGTTTCCAGGATGAGGTCTACAAATTTACAGGTCCAAAAATCTTCTGTTTTAGCTTCATATGCTTCCCAGTCTATGGATTTCAAGTTGAAGTCACCGACTATCGACAGTCGTGATCTATCGTTATCCGCTCTCGCTATAATCTCTCTCATTATTGTTATAAGACCTTCACGTTTACTATCTAGCTCCTCCTTTGACCATGTGCTGCTTGGCGGTGGACTATATGCATTTATCATCATTAGTTTATCATCCTCATAGCAGATCTCTAGTGCTATTATGTCAACTTCTTGTGGATTGGCAGTCATTATTTCCTTCACCTTTAGGTGTTCTTTTACCAGCATGTGTGTGTGTGTGTGTGTGTGTGTGTGTGTGTGTGTGTGTGTGTGTGTGTGTGTGTGTGTGTGTGTGTGTGTGTGTGTGTGTATGTGTGTGTGTATATATATATATATATATATATATATATATATATATATATATATATATATATATATATATATATATATATATATATATATATATATCGAACCTAGATCGAACGCCGACCCTGCAAGAAGTGAGATCGTATTCGGTCCCTGGGCAGAACAGAAATGGTTAGGCAGGTTTCCATTCATCTAATGCCTCTGTTCATCTAGCAGTAAGTAGGTACCCAGTTGTTTGGCAACTGTTTTGGGCAACCCGTTCTCCTAAAATGAGAGTATGTAGTAACTATGTAGTGGCAAGTACCAGCATGTAGCCCCGACAAAGGCAGTAATGTTGAAGATTATCACATATATCTCAAATATATATTAGTTATGGCGTAGTTCAGGTAGCAGTAATAAGAGGTACTCACAGCCCCATTCTCTTAAAATGATAGTATTTAATAGCAAAAACTATTTGATGGAGCGTAGACAAGAGAGAGACGGGCAGACAGACAGGAAGGGCGCAGGTCGCTGAGGGGTGACGGTAATGACGGCACCTTATGATCAAACAGACGGGCTGGCGAGCGGACAGTGTTGGCCAGACCACCTTGCCTCTCGCTCATACACTCGCCTGCTGGATTTGAAGAGACAAAAATAGTGGCGCACGCGAGTTGAGTTGACGGTAAAACCTGGTGTTTACAGTGGTTTACGCGACCCAGATGTTGGTGTAAACTGGCGGTTCCAATCATTCCCGAAGCGGACGCTACGAGGTCTCAGCCGCTGCAACCCTAGCGAGGTCAGGGGTTACAAGGTAGTGTTGTGCTTGCTGTACAGTGTTTGTGCTATATGAAACTGCGTGCAGTGTTCTGTCCTGCTATATATGTTGCAATTCTTTGACCATGTCGTAGCTCAGTCGATTAAGGCTGCATCTGGGATGCTCTCGGACGTAGGTTCGAACCCTCGTCACGGCCCTTGTGGATTTGTTGTACTATATATGTCTTCCGCTGTATTCTGGTGTGCTTTGTGTTCATCACACTACAGTATATGGTGTTAGATTCGACTGTAATATGAACTGCATTGTGTTGTGGGGTGTATATATTGGGCCTATATACATGTAGACCCAATATATATCCTAGGCCTATACTGTATATGTAATTGCAGGCCTAATATGTGCAATCCTAGGCTTATATGGGTCATCATAAGCCTAATTTACACAATGTCATCCCCAATGCAGATATATGCATTATATTAGGCCTAGGTGAAGTTAGGTCAGACCGTTGAATTATCGCCACCTTTCATGTGAACTCTACAAAATCAATAGTATTAGGGTCTCGTAGTTCAGCAGGCTTCGTTCTCAATTCATAATCGGGTCCTTCACTTGTGAGCCGAGGAGAATATGATGGAGTTGCGTAGCATGTATTTTGTACTGAGCACTTTGTGTAGCGTGTGCTGTACAGTGCCATGCACTGTAAATTGTTGTATGTAGGGTAGTGTGTAGCTTGTTAACCTGTACATTGTTAGCACTGTATAGTAGTGTCTAGGGTATACATTTGCAGTGACGTGGATCGAGAGCATGAAGGCGATCCAAGATGGCGTCCTCGACCTCGCACCCCCCCCCCCCCCAACAATCCACACAACACAATGGTATAAAAATAATGTTAGAAATCCCATACACTTGCCTCTCCCGTCTTCCCTCCCTCTGTTCTCACATGATACTGTATTTATAAGCAACAATATTACCACTAGCTATTACTCAATCATCATATACAGGTATTATTATAAATTTACTATATATATATATATATATATATATATATATATATATATATATATATATATATATATATATCTGTGCTGTTCGTTGTCATGATTTGTCAAATGTATTGTATTTCACGAGGAGGAAATGTGAGAGGGAGGGAAGGCGAGAGAAACAGGTGAGAGAGGGGAGAGAGGTAGGTGAGAGAGGGGAGAGAGGTAGGTGAGAGAAAGAGGGGGTAGGTGAGAGAAAGGGGGGGTAGATGAGAGGAAGATGGGGTAGGTGAGAGAAAGAGGGGGTAGGTGAGAGAAAGAGGGGGTAGGTGAGAGAAAGAGGGGGTAGGTGAGAGAAAGAGGGGGTAGGTGAGAGAAAGAGGGGGTAGGTGAGAGAAAGAGGGGGGTAGGTGAGAGAAAGAGGGGGGTAGGTGAGAGAAAGAGGGGGGTAGGTGAGAGAAAGAGGGGGGTAGGTGAGAGAAAGAGGGGGGTAGGTGAGAGAAAGAGGGGGTAGGTGAGAGAAAGAGGGGGGTAGGTGAGAGAAAGAGGGGGTAGGTGAGAGAAAGAGGGGGGTAGGTGAGAGAAAGAGGGGGGTAGGTGAGAGAAAGAGGGGGGTAGGTGAGAGAAAGAGGGGGTAGGTGAGAGAAAGAGGGGGGTAGGTGAGAGAAAGGGGTGAAGGTGAGAGGAAGGGGAAAGGTGAGAGAGGGAGGGTGAGAGGGGGGAAGGTGAGAGAGAAGGAAGATGAGAGAGAGAGGGTGAGTGAGAGGGAAGGTGTGAGAGAGGAAGGGTGAGAGAGAGGGGGGGGGGGAAGGTGAGAGAGAGAGAGGGAAGGTGAGGGGGGAAGAGGGAAGGTGAGGGGGAGAGGGAAGGTGAGGGGGGGGGGGGGAGAGGGAGGGAAGGTGAGGGGGGGAGAGGGAAGGTGAGGGGGGGAGAGGGAAGGTGAGGGAAGGTGAGGGGGAGAGGGAAGGTGAGGGGGAGAGGGAAGGTGAGAGGAAGAGGGAAGGTGAGAAGGAAGGTAAGAGGGAACGGACAAAACAACACAGTAGTAAGATTACAAATATAGAGAGACATTAAGAGGAATGGGGTATGAGAGAGCATTAAGTGAGGGGGGACTGTGAGGTGACAAAAAGTGAGGGGGACTGTGAGTGGACACACACAGTGAAAGGGGGGACTGTTCATGGGCACAAAGTGGGGAGGTGACTGTGTGGGGCACAAAATGAAGGAAGAACTGTGAGGGGAGAAAAAGTGAGGGGTGCAGACAGTGAGGGGGGGGGAGGTCTATGAGGTGGGGGGGCTGATCAATAAAGTCATGCAGGTGAGGAAGGATCAAGTCGCTCTTATCACACGCACACCTCCACTGGCCTCACCCCTCACCACCTCACACTACCATCACTACCCCCTCCTCACACTATCATCACTCTCACCCCTCACACTACCATCACTCTCACACCCCTCATACTACCATCACTCTCACACCCCCCTCACTCTCACCCCCCTCACTCACACATCCCCCCCTCACACTACCCTCACTCTCACCCTCACACCACTATCATTCTCACTCCTCACTATAAACTCTGGCATATTCAAAGCAATAAGGAAAGTTGCAGTAATACTCACATCCTTGGAGTCATCTAGAGCCAAGGCCCGAGCAACCATGGCAGTTACTGTGGATTTTCCCACTCCTCCCTTTCCAGATAGTACTAAGATTTTATATTTAATTGATGCAAGACGCTCCTTTACTGCATCGAGATCTAGGGATTGGAAAGTAAACCTAAGCTTTGCATGTTGATATGTTGTTATTATACAAGAGTTGGATATGTTTATTTGCTTTAAGATCAGCACCAGATCAGAATATTGTGTACTATGAGCTCCATACTTGTACTATAATTAGAAGTGTATGCTGTATGGCTATAACCCTATTGAGGAATTCATATTTTTTTTTTTAACATATGTAAATACTTGAGGACTTTAAATTAATTGTCAATGTTACAACAGGTACAGTTTAGCATCTGAAATGATAAGTCACATATTCTTGGCCTAAACCAGCTACTGTATAAAGTCACTAGTCTCTAGACAGTGCACCTAAACAATTAATAATGCCTGCAACAGGGCATAGAACAAAACAAGAAATACACCAGGAACTTGAATATGGTTCAGAAAGTCACTGAAACATGAGACGAATATTATAGAAACCTGTTAGAATAAATATTCCAACACATTATTCCACGATTCAGTGCATTGTTATGAAAATTATATGGATTTTTTTTTAAATGTAAAATTAAATGAGTTATAAGTATTTTAATGGACCCAATCCAATCCAGTATTCAATCTTTGTCTTCTTACAATGTACTTGTATTTGTTTTCAATTTTGCTAGAAATTACCTACTTAAATTTATCTGTTAGATTAAGGACCTACCTGAAACGCTATGCGTGTCAGTGGCTTTACAAAAATGTGAAAACATCACTGCTATGTACTCTCAAACCCAATGTACCTTCTTGTATATAAATAGATAGATAAATAAATTCACTTACAGTATTTTTTTTGTTTTGTTTTCAGGCACATGTACTATCTTAAACTGCAAGATGATACAAGGGTAGATATGGAGAAAGGTGCATTATGAGTAATACAATGTACCCAAAGATAATATGGTACTGAAATTAGCCTCCTCCTCTGGTTTACAAACACCAAAATCTAGTACAGTACAGGACTGTAACTCCAATTGAAAAAACTATTCCAAGTTAAATTCCCATGGTAGGACAGCATTAGCCACATTGTCTTTTACCTGATGCCTTTGTTCATGTAGCAACAAATAGGTACCCAGGGGTTAAGCAACTGTTACAGGCTGCTTGCTAGTAGTTAGCCTAGGTTAGTACTTAGCCTCAGTAAGCATATCATGTCTCATCATATATAGACAGATGCTACTGTGTTTTGAAACTTGGTTTCGTGCTCTCTTTTCATTCGCATTATAAATTTTGCAATAAACCTAATCTTTTTAATCTAAAAAACACTAAATTTCATTAGTGTCCAGAGACCAGTGACTTTATCTTGCCTTGTATCTTAATTAATAAAGACAACTTTTACAGCATACATATGATGGGTCAAGTTGAGAGAAAATCTCTACTAGCTTAATGCCATAATTTAGGAAAATAAACCATTACCAATGACACCAGCCAAATTTACCTGGATCTGGTGTTTGAGCAGCCCCTGACGAGCATACCTGCTGGTTGGGGCAGCCAGCACAGGCAGATGCTTTGCCTGCATCTTCACTGTTAGTGCCAGGGCAGTCTGAAAAATTTTCAAATACAAAAAAATGGATATGCAGTGATCCAAAAATACGATATTTGCTGGAATATTCTCTGGATTATGGTCACAAAAAATCAAGTACTGAATGCAGGGAATTGCACTTCTCTGCCCTTGGTAACTCTTTGTAGTTTGTGCTCTTATGAAAGCAAACCTTGAGAAGTGCACCAGGCCTCTAAGACCCGTGCCAAATTACTTGGAGCTAGCACAAAAATCTGGCTCTATGAGGCAAGAAGAGCTTGGGAATCAGATCAATCCAAAACCCTCCATAAAACAGGATAGGAAAAACAGAACAATCTACTGCCTGTAAAAAGAAAGAAATTCTAAGACAAAAAAAAAAGGGAAATAATCAACTCACATGAACAACCCTAACTTTGATATCTCTGACAACCACCAGATAGCATCCCAGGTGCCACCCACCTAACTTACTCATCTGGCGCATATGGAGAATGTACACAATGTCTGGGATCCAAAGAGCTAACTGATGTTGGTATTCCCTGGGACATAAAGTTCTGCAAATGGCTATGAGCTTGTTCTTGTTCTATTTATGTTTGACAATTGTATTTAGTTCTACACTGTATGTTCCTTGTGAAGTATTCCATTTTACTCTGGCTTGCCATGGTTACCTTCTTTCATAGCTGGCTATCATTTCTCCTGCTCCACCAGAGATTCCTACTCAGGAAAGTTTTGGTTCCTACCTTGTAAGTTGGCTCCTCTTTAGTCCCATCACGTCCAAGCACCTAACCTAACCTAACCCCAAAAACTGCTCCCATAATACTAACAAATTGTATGCATCACTATGCTCTACACTCTAAGTGCTGGCATTCTCCCCTAACACTTCATACATCACCATGACAACACGGAGGCAACAGTTTGGGAATCTGCCCACGACACACTCTACACAAAATCTTATAGACATATAAATAAAACAATTGTTACCAGAAGCACCTTAGAAAGAGGCGATTCTAATAAAACTTATATTTAATATAAGCAGATTTCCAAGTAAAAAAAAAAATGTATAATCTCACGTGCAGGAGCGTCGTCCGGCACAGAGCTCATGTTTACAACTGTCAGCTGAGCCAGACACCAGACGCTCGCCAGGCGCTCGCCTCGTACAGACGCATACGAGCGAGAAACGACGTTCTATTTATTTATTTATTTATTTATATACAAGAAGGTACATTGGGTTTATGAGAATACATACATTACATTAAATTATTCTTATGAAGCCACTAGTACGCACTGCGTTTCGGGCAGTAGGAGGACAGGTTGCATCAACAGCGCTGGTACTCTGCACCAGCGATAGACGATCGCTGGGGCAGTATCAGTGTGATAGACGTATCAGTTAACCTCCCTAGTCATGATAATATGGGAAAGTAAGGCCCCCTGAACATATCTTGTGGCTATTAAATTTTTTCCATTAAATGCCTACTTAATCCCCTCTCACATTAATGAATAGTTGTGGGTCAATTTACGTTGGTTACCACTGGAGTATCAGTACCGCGGTAGCCTACGTCAAGCACTTTCAGGCAGAGTGACTGGCTTCCTCTGTGGATAATGACCAGTATCAAAAGATCTCTGAGTAATGAATCAAAAGTATAATTAACAGCTCATTAAGTGGAGGTGGTGGCAGCCCGTAGTTAACTTTATTGACAAGACGTGTGTCCTATTAACAGAGTTAACAAATCCGTTGGTTAATAAAATACTGTACAGCCATATATGAAACCACATTGTATCTGGTGGTAGTGTTTTATAACGTTCCAGTGTTATAATACTTAGGTTCCCCAAGTCTCCACTTATTAGGATGCAGATGTACCCAATAGACATCTAAATACATCAATTTGCTCAGTGCTTCAACATTCCTCTTGTGCTATATGTGTGCGAGCATGTATCTATCAGAGGTGTATGAGACAGGTGTGCAAACTATATATACGGTATTTATTTCCAAAGTTTGAAGCCTAATAATTTTTTTAATTCTATATAAGAACTGCTTCAGGAAATATTTGGTGCTACATAGCCTTCCCGATTTGGTGCCTTCTTTGATAATTACTTAATTACTTCAGGAAATATTTTTTTACAGGTGTGAGGGCCACTGGGTGTGAAGGAGGTCAGTGTGGACCACTTGGTGCGAAAGCGGCCAGGTGTGAGTGCCACTGTAGGTGTGCAGAAGATCAGATCAGAGGCATATCGCAAACATGTCAGGATCAGTGCCAGCGCTTTACCACCAGCCGCCCGCCGCCCTCAACAAGACCGTGGCCTTGAAGACGGTCGACACAAGGCCCTTCGAGCAAAGGTGATTTGTTATCATTGTCGATAGATTTTGTTGGTGTGGTCTTGCTGACCAAGTCTAGTGTAGTCTTGATGAACGTCTATAGTGTAGTCTTGACAGTAAAAAGTCTACTGCGATCATCATGACCAAGTCCAGTGTGGTCTTGGCAACTATAAGTCTAATAATGTGGTCACGATGATAAAGGTTAGTATATTATATCGGTGGAAAATCGATATAATGTATTACAGGTATTAGCAATAATATAATTATTATAATTATTTGTTAATCTTACTACCGAATCCAGGTAGTAGAGTCCTGCTCGTTCTCGACGCACTATCGGGAATTCCGAGTTCGAATCCCTCATAAATAGGGTTGGGTGCCTTTCCTATCACCCAATGTCCATACTCATCTAGCAGTAAATAGGTACCCAAGAGTTAGTCAGCTTGCTGTGGGGACTGCATCTTGGGGAAAGGTCAGTGACTCGACTTTGGGGAGGATCTGGATGTATTAAGCCTTAACTGATTGATTGATGAAGCTTAAGCCACCCAAAAGTTGGCACGGGCATGAATAGCCCGTAAGTGGTGGTCCCTTTGAGCCACTATCAGTATCAAGAGCTGATACTGGAGATCTGTGGACGTGCGACTGCACCCTACGTGACGGGAGATGTCTCCCGTGAAGCCTTAACATGTACTATATATATACTGTATATATACTGGCTGCCTGTCCCCAAACACAATTAATTTTTATTTGTCTAATGTTGACATTAATACTTTTCTTTTATTTAATATTAGCATACCTATAGTATGATGGTAACCGAGAAGTATACTGAAGTATACTAAGTTTCTAATTCAGCAGCTACGCAATGCGTTGGGAGGTATACTGCAGTATACTACCCAAATGACATTATGAAAAACACTTGATTTTATTTTATAATCCATAGATACACGGCTGTTCTTGCATGATATATAAGTGACGATAGATGGAATAGCTTGTGTAGATTTCACTTTGAACAGATACATTGTTGGGCTTGCATGATATATATGTGATGAATAGCTTGTGTATATTTCACTTTGTCTTCGATTAAAATCGGTAAAACATGGTTTTGTGTCACCTTGTGATACAGCCTGTCGTTGGTGCCACCGACCCTGAGCCGCTCCTACCCAACGGAGAGCCGCGTGTTGGACGCCGTCAGGTTCCCCAACATCTTCAGCTCGGCGACCTCCACCATGAAGACCAGATACACCCCGGCTGACTGGTCACAGAGTACCGTCACTTCCTAGGTTCAACATAACTAGACTAGTTCCCTTTGCTTGGTTCCTCCCAGGCTAACCTGACTAGCGTCTGCTCCTACGCTGTGGATGGGATATTGCTTTGTGCAATGTGTGATGGCCATTGTCATGATTGGTACACCATATATAGCTAGGCATGTTTCTGATTTTTTTGTTTTTTGTTTGTATTTGCATGATTTATACGTTAGCTTAATTTGTTGCACCTCAGACTACGTGACTAATTTATTCATTTGCCGCTTAAGACGTACACAAGGATCTTACATACCTCATCAAGGCTCCTGTGGATTTATTTACATAAGGAAAGTTAGCTGAAATTATCTAATTTGCCTTCCAGCTAGTTCAGCAATATTCAAAGATTAATTGTGACTAAGCTTGAACAATATTGTCATTACTGAAATAAATTGTAAATATTTTGCATAAGTGGTGTTATGTTGTAAATTCTAAATACTTTATCGCCAAAACTTATCATTTCTACCTACGTTTTTTTTATCCTGCATAATGCCAGTATTTCGCATGTCGAGGCCTGTTGCTTGCACTAACTGCAACAGATGTACGTGGACATAGGCACAGTAGCTGCACATTAAAACAAGCTCAAATATACTGACAATAAGACACAATAACATGCCTGAAAATGAATAATCCAACTCCCACACATGACACTAAAGGACTGTGATGAGGCTACGGGTGTCTAGTTACAATAACTGGTCCATGGGGATGGGCCGAACTATCAACGCACAATACTCTTCTCATGTGAGGACTGAAATTGAAATAAGTTTATTGAGGTAAAATACACACAAAGGGATGAGGTAGCTCAAGCTATTCTCACCCCATTTGTGAGGACTGGGCTATTTCAAGCTCAATGTTTATGATGTTTTTTGCTTTACGATTATTTCTCCACCACCGTACTTTGCTTTGCTGCAATTTATTTGATATGTTTACATTATTTAAATCCGCTCAACATTTAACAAAAGTTCAAGGTGATAAAATCGTATTGAATTATTTCTGCATTAAAGGAGAGATAATTATGCTTCTGTATTGAGGCATGTTGGCAATAAGTTTTTTAGCTTAGAGCAAAATTTAAATAGTTGACCTTAAATCTTCGCCCATCTGTATCGAATAGCACGCGTTTGTATAGTAAATATAATAAAGTATAAATTTATAGAACAAACAAAATATGGTGACTTATAATATAGTTTTGACTTCAAAATGCGTCTTGAATCTTAAAGAGGAACAACACAATGCTCTGGAAATCAACTTTCAAGTTCAAGTATGTTTATTGAGACAAGAAAGAAATACATCTCAAAGGAATAGAGTAGCTTAGGCTATTTCTACCCCCCAAAAAATCTACTTTATGCAGTAGCTTAAACTTACCAGCTAAAGACGTTCTCTCACTTTTAGTTGTGAAGGAGGGGGAAAAAAAAGACTGATCTCCGTTATCTTTGGAACTGACCCTTAGGATTTTCTGGCAGGTAACCTGGACCACTACAGTGACGCCGACAGCACACGAGGCATCTCAGAGAGAGTCAGAGACGATGCTGTCAGGCTTGTGGGGTATGTTTGCTGTCTCAGTTCTCCCCAGCCTTGTCTATTGTCTAGCCGAGCACCCAGTGAATGCATAGCTGTAACACACCATTAACCATTATTCTGAGGTGAAAGATGCTACCTCCAGGTACACCTACGACCGGACCAACATAGCTCAGCGGGAGAGTTCACAGCGGCTGGGGGAACGGGTGAGCGACATCACCTTCTGGAGGAGCGAGCTGATGCAAGAGCTGGACCGCATGCTGGCCGAGACCAACCGCCTCAACGACTCCCGTCGAGCGCTCGAACACGCTCTCCGAGATACAGAGAACCCCATGCATGTCACCAAGGAGTGCCTCTACTTCAGAGAGAATCGCCAAGGTATGTCGCTGTGCTCTTATGGGAAAGTTAGTGTGGCATTGGGTACTTTTCTGTTTGCTTCCTTGTGTTGAGAACCCCCATATATGTATAGGTAAACTTAATACACAAAGCCATCCCAAAACCCGAGCTCAGATGGGGAATATTGAAAAAAGCACACTACATGAAGCATCGGCGTGTGCACAACTTTACAGCCACAGACCTCACACTATACAATTATACAAGAACTAATGGATAAACTGAAGGAGTTACGAAGCTTGTCTCATTACACACTGCTAAAAAATTCCCTTATTTTTCTGTTTAACACTAAAATGTTGACGGAACTGCGTTCCTGTATTTGTACGTAAACAAGGTTTGTTTGCCTCAGGAATTGACCTGGTCAGAGATCATCCTGAGGAGGCCATGCTGAGGGAGGTGGACACCATCAAGGACTGCCAGACCCGCATGAAGAACTTACTCGACCGAGTCAACCTCCAGGTGAGTCAATTCACCATTACCACATGACCTGCACCTGATTCAAAACATCTGCCACTGAGCACCAGCTGAGTTAAAAGTAGCATCCATGAGGCTGAGTCAACATGTGTTTTGGACAGCTGAGTCGGGACAGGGCGGCGCGGCAGGACCTGGAGCACGACACCATGAACAAGAACCATGCCCTGACTATCGACCACACACAGCACTCCCTCCACAACTACTCCGCCGCCATCACCTACTACCCAGGCATCGAGAGAGTCGACAACACGTAAGATGACCTCATTTTGATCATTCATTCAGTACCACTCTTTCGTCTAATACGTAATATGACCTGGTATTTACCCTACACTACCAAGTTCATCTAACACTGCCTAATCCATTCCTTCCCTGTCCAGTAACTGTACGGGTGACCACTTCAACAGAGTTACGCCCTGTGTTAGTGAACCTTCAAAACTCAATTGAGCGCAGCCTCATCCCCCCGATTCGGGATACTATTTATTATTGATATTTATTTATTCATTCATGTACAAAAAGATACAGTGGGTTGTTAAGGAGGTACATATGCTGGCGGGAGAGTAGTACATTCTTGTGCAGACGACGAGTCACACTAACCTAGCCGAGGCGTTTATATCCAACACACACGTCTGAAAATGAAGAAACGACCACGTTTCGGACCGACCTGGACCATTATTAATTGTTAGTACATTCTTGCAAAGCCGCACGCATAGCGTTTCAGACTTAACGTAACAAATAACCGTAATGATGGGTATATTATAACAAAATTTGAATTCCTATGATACCGAACATCAATATACAGATCAAATATAATTATTGGGATGAAGTTGAATTGGAGTTGGACTGTGAGATCGCCCCGTCATACGACCACCTTTTAAACTCATTTACCCATGAAAAATCCGATGTTACATCTTGAACGTCTTTTACATATATTGTACTTTTCATCATTTTCCTCTCAGATATTTGTGCGCAGGCCCCAAGCCTCTGGCTGGCCCACTATGTGCGACTCATTTCTGTCTTACTTAGGCAGTGGAGTTGATAATATAGCCTGATAACTCCCTCTCACACGCCACACTTTCCTCTGTCACCCGTCACTCTCTCCCTTGTCATCCATCACACTCTCCTCTGTCACCCGTGACACTGTCTCCTCCAGAGTAAGTGTGCCGGAGACATGGGCAGAGTTCAGCAACCGGAACATTCAGCAGAGTCAGAGCGAAAGGAGCAGCTCCCAGCGGCTACGGCAGGAGGTTGATGCCCTCATCGCTGCCACGCACCAGGACATGTGGATGGCCTGGTCCTCGTCCAACACCTGCCTCACCCACCGCGCGGGGGAGACGGGTGACACCAGAAACAAGCTCTTGGCTCACAGGGATCGGGTAAGTGAAGCAAGGTGGGGTGCCATTGGGTCTAGGGGAGGGCGGGCGGGCGAGCAAGCAAACGAACGAACGAACGTGAAGTGAAGTGTCACATGGGCCAGTAGTGTCCACTGCAGCTTACCCATCTCCTATGTTCCCATGTTCCAACGTCGGAAAAATCCAAGCACCTTAACACCACCGCCAGTTAAAACCCCACCATAATAACACCATCACAACAATTCACAGTAATAACTCCACCTCAGTAACATCACCACAGCAACAACTCCACCACAGGTCCAGAGGGAGATGAACGACCTGGAGCGCCACATCGATATGCTGAAGAAGGCCATCCTGGACAAGTCGGCACCGCTGAAGGTAGTGCAGACGAGGCTGGAGGGTCGAACTCACCGCCCGGAGATGGAGCTCTGCAGGGACCCACCACAACACAGGTCAGATGGCCCACACAACCTGCAACACAGATCAGCTAGTTGTAATATTTTGAGTTGCGTTACGTTGTCCAGGCTATTGTTGGAATAAGGTGGTGAGCCAGTGTGACTACGCAGGACTTGAAAAGAATATCAGAACTAGGAATTGGTGACGGGATGAATGAACTGTGACCAACCACTGGGGGTCGATTGCCGACCTTGCAACATTCGAGGCTGCTGCTGCACCGCTCGGTCTAAGTGGTTGGAGTGTTAGTGAAGGTTGCACTGCATGGGACATCGTAGACGAGCCATGCGAGACCTTGAGTTCCGTAGTGATGTTGTTTAAGTAGGAAGTTATTATGGTCTTTGTTAGTGAATACTTATTTAAGTATTGAAGAGCCCAATTGGGAATTCATTCTTGCAATGGGTGGAATGGATTAAATCAGTCTAGCTAATTAATAATGGGATCATTGTTACTCATTTGACAAATGAAGCTGAATTGAGTGGAACTTAGGACGTTGAGTATTGATTGGTAAAGATAAGCGTATAGCGGTTTGTATATGATCTATTTGTTGATAATATTAGTACTTTGATAATATTGTGTGGAACACTGATGTTGACGCTTCATGTTGTGACAGGATGGTGCGGGAGGTGCAGGAGCTGAGTGAGAGCGTGGAGTCCCTCCGCCACAAGCTGTCCGAGGCGGAGAACTCCCTTCACCGCCTGGCGCAGATCAGGGCCCGCCTCGACCACGACCTCGGCGTCAAGACCAACTCCCTCTACATCGACAGAGACAAGTGTCTTGGCATCAGGAAGAGCTTCCCCCTCTCCCAGCCTCACCTCGTTGACTTCACTCTCTACTAGTTGTACACTCACCTACTTGAGCTCACCCTAGCTTTCACATGACGTGTTTTTACCTCATTAAAACGACGTAAAATGAACGTTGTGGTTGCCTTCTTGTGTTAGCTGGGACTATAGTTCAATGTGTGTATACACTACCAGACCAACCACCGTCACTGCCACAACCTATCAGTAGTTAATAATAGGTTTTTAGTTTAGGCTTATAATTCCCCCTTGGGCAAATGACGTTAATAGCGGGTAGAAATAGCCTAAGCTACTCTATCCCTTTGAGATGTATTTCTTTCTTGTCTCAATAAACATACTTGAACTTGACGTTAATCTAACAGTAAATCAATGTTCATGATGTTGATCTTTTGTTGATTAGATTTAACTGGCAAATTCACTATCAACAAGAGTTTTAGTTTAGTTCATTTATTATGCACCCCATACCCGTCTTGTCAACAACATTCCGAGCATTTCACAACTTAGGAAATAACGCAAAACTTCCGTTGCTTAGATGCACTAGCCCTAAATAATAGTAGTTTCAGGCATATATGAAGTCACCTACAAGAAAATATCACGTGAATCAATATAAGATTCTTGTTATCTGTTGAAAGTGCTTATAAAATATATATAATTCTTGTTTGAAAATTATTCGTTAATATTATACATGTTTGGAGTTTATATATATAAATATGAAATTGTTTGTAATACGAAAGGTATATGGATTATGCCTCCTGTATACTGGAGGCATGGTATATGGATTATGCCTCCTGTATACTGGAGGCATGGTATATGGATATGCCTCCTGCATACTGGAGGCATGGTATATGGATTATGTACTGGAGGTATGGCCTCAGGGGTTTGAGAGAGGAAGTACCTGCACAGTGCTAGTTCGCCAATGTATATTGCTGAGCTTAAAGCCTAGGTGACAGTTCCTCAGTCCATTATGCAACCTTTCCACCAATTGCCCTCAACCCAGTGGCCACAACAGCCAAGAGTAACTACGTTAACGCGCTCCAAGAAGGAAGAAGTCGATCAGTACACACAGTTACTCAGCACACTCACTGAGAGTGAGTACGCCTAGTTATTACAGAATTACGGGCTCACCATAGCCCATGCTACTTGGAACATTTTGTTCCAAGTAGCGAATCTTAACAACAACAAGCCTAGTTATTATGCACATGTATGCCATGCACATAATATGATTATAAATATACACAGTTATATTATATCGTATACATCCATGGCTCAGTATTTAAAGTTTTATCATATGTTGACTGTGTCTCATGTTTTAAAATGATTTAAAAAAGCAACTGTGCTGATATGGTAATGATACGGCTGATATGTTCAATATTTTATACAATGTTTATGAAGCTTATCTGCTTAATAAAGCTTACTACACATTGTCTTTTGTGTTATTATTCTATATGTTGTATGACATGATTCCAGGTGTGCAACAAGGGTCCCCATTTGCGACAGATGTGTGACATTAGAGAGAAAATAATGGGTGGTTAGGTTAGGTGTGAAGGTAAAGCAAAGGCAGGAATGAATACTCCACTGTTCAAGTGACGATGAACTAGCAATAACAATGCAATCCATGAAAAATACGTGGGAAGCAGAGGCTCACCAGCCACAACAATGAGACGAAACACCGTAGCAGATATAAAGATGACTAGGACTAAGGCTGGACCAGACTAAGGCTAGGAGGACTCGCCAACTACCACCACTTGTGACAATTCAAGACAAACCTAAGTTATCATTGCATCTTCTGGCATTTTCCAAAGTCAATAGGGAACGGTATCATCCTCGCTCCTTACATTTCACAGATATCACAATCAACTTTCCATCACAATCCATTTATCTATTCAACTTTCCATCTATTCATCAACCCATCTAGCTTTTTATCTATCCACCTAGCTTTCTATCCATCCATCTAGCTTTCTATCCATCCATCTAGCTTTCCATCTATGTATATATATTTATATATATATATATATATATATATATATATATATATATATATATATATATATATATATATATATATATATATATATATATATATATAT